AAGTACTTAAGTTATTAGGTGATGCAACAAAATGGAGGCTCACTCCCGAGCAAAATTGATTAATTTTTTCAGCTTTACGTAAATATTTTATCTCTTAAGATAAAAGTTTTAGTTTGCTATAACTCTTTAGTTTGCTATAACCAAGGGTAGTTGATCCAACATGGGCTCATCTATACCAAACTAACCTTACTTCTTTTCTTATAATCAGGTACTAATTTATATGATATGCAATACTCGCCTTTCTTTCTCTCCTAAAGGTCCTGGTTTTTTTGTAGTTGACATAACACAAGTCACATGGATTGAACATGTCCTTGTGTCCTAATAAGGCCCGTCGACCCCAATGGGTTGTCTTGTGTAAGGCTCCCTGAATGGCGCAGTGGGACAGTAAACTTATCCAGAGCATTAGTTTTAAATGTTGTGTTTGAACCCCTCTTCTTCTAAGTTATTCTTTACTTACTTATTAAGTTATTCTTTAATGTGCAGCAAGAAACCCCACGAAGACCTACATCACACTGAGAAGACATTCAGCACACTGAGCCATAATCGTCGGGAAGGCGAAAGGCTCTTTCTCCCCCTTCTCAACAACAATCAAGCAATCCTTTAAAGATCAAGGAAGCGGATCTAATCGACGACAGATTTAATCACCTTAAAAATCTCTCCCTAACATTCCAGTTTTTCTCGTTAGATTTCTGCTCAATGCAGAGTTTTGCCGCAAAACCAAAAATATTTTAATATTTTTGGTTTTATATTAATATCCCTGGTTAATATCCCTGCCGAAAAAAATATTTTTTTCGGCAGGGATCCGAGGAAAGGCTTTTTCTTTTTTTTTTTAGTGGTTCTTCAGCAAATAAATAAAAGGATTTTCCCCTTTAATGAGAATAATACCCTAAGGCAATACCTAATGATTTCCGGGTAAGGATAAAAATGGCCTCGCGAGATGAAACAACTTCTTAAATCATTAAATCTGATCGGTTACTGCTGGTCCAACACTGTCACCACACACACGGGTAATTGGGCATACTTGAATGGACCTTGGACAAATGGAAAAACCCGTGAGGAAAAGTTCATCCAGACAGCACGTAGTGGGCAATAAAAAAGGAAAAAAAAAAACTGAAACGCGGGAGGGAGGACCTGGGTCCCCCCTTTATATATTTCCTCCACAACATGACTTTTCGTTCTCCGCCGAGGAGAATCAATAGGCGCTTCCGCGCCTATTCCCTTTCTGTCAACCCCTTTCCGTTACGGACTCCACCTTCTCGTATTCCTCTCCGAGTGCATCTGGAGTAATGGAACAGGGCATGCTTCGCACTAGCTCAACACAGCAAATTTGTAGCTCTTTCTCCCGGACACCGAATCTCGCTTTTGAGGTCCGGGTTCTTCTGAGGGGTTTTCAGAGGCCGAAAGAAAGATATCGATCTCGATAAGTACGCTTTTCGTTGCCTGCAATGCACCATTTCGCTATGAACAATTAAATTAGCTTTCGTATCCGGTGCCTCGAACTACTGTTTTTTAAATAGCTGTTACCCGTGAAACATTCACGTCCTCTTAATAGATTCTAATCGACTTTCATCCCATAGCATTCAAATGGGACACCGCTAGAATTTTGAATAGCCATATATCGTATCAATAATATTGGATGCGTTCCCACCCCCCCCCCCCTCCTCCATTTTCCCGTATGTAAATTTTCAGGAAGTTCCGTTCTGTAAAATTCAATTTAGACACACCCCACGAATTTGGAACTTCCAAATAGAAAGAAAATTCAGAATGTTTTCAGTCGTCAGAGTCCCCCAATTTCCCCCAAAAAACGATTCGCCGTGAGTTCTGTCCCTTAGCATCCAAGTGAGACACAATGCTCAAATTCGAACGCCCGGGCATCGGAAGAAGTATTGGGGATGATTTTGAGTTCTGCACGAGATGCGGATCGGGCATGCAATTCGATTGGCAATCAAGTTTCCGGCCGAGTTTCGACAAATACTTCAGGGTGTCATTTTTTCTTCTGCCCCTTACGGCTGTTGCAAAAAATCACACCTTTTTTCAGCGCTTGGAACTATTACAAAATGTCGTGACTCTCGGACGAGCAGCTGTCAGCCGAAAGTAGTGAACTATGAGGGCGCTGCAGAAATAATGTGACGTCACGGAATCCCAGAAGCATCAGCAAAGCCGCTTAGAGAAAGACGCACCCAGAGACCTCCAGCTTAGAGACCTAAACGGGCCTGCGGGTCGGCCCGACACGACCCACGGGCCGGGATGAAAGCTCGGTCCGGCGATCGAGTTTCGGGTCGGGTGGGACCACGATTCGAATCGAGTGAGGAAAAGTGAACCCGCGCAGGCCTCTGACGGAGGAGAAACTTCGGCTATCGTTATGTAACTGAGACACTTCAGCGCCGAGTTCATGGGATGAGGCGAGATTGAAACATTGGTCAGCGGTCGATGTGGTAGGATAAGGACTTACCGTGTGTGCACATCCCCGTTGACGGCATCCAACATGCATTTGAATCGCGGAAAGTCTGTCCACAGCCATCGTCGAGACGGATTCGACTCACTCCAGATAGGCCTAACGTCACACGTCCTCACCGGATGTCTCGAAAACCCCGAGATGGAACGCGTAGGCCGAGGGTTGAGATTCTCCTGAACGAAAATAAGTAATGCTCGGATACCTGTGGAAAGCAAACTGCATATACTTTCCCAACACAGTCGTCACCATCACGTTCCCAGTGCAAAGAGACTGAGAAGACCGAGTGGTAAAGAAACACTGGAACGGAAAATTTCCACTCACGGAATGGAAATGTGGCGACGGCGAGAGAAGAAGGTTTTACTGCATGGTGAAAAACTAGAGAGTGACGCATATCCAGACGATTCCCTCCCCCATTCCAGAATTCGCCTCGGGCCTTTCAACTTCGAAGAAAGAAGCAGGTTGCACTCTTTTTCCATTACTTTGATGGATTCACGTCATCCCCATATTTTCCGATCCATCCGTCCCCAAAGGAGCTCTTTGAAACACGATGACGTAAGCAAGGCAGGCGACTCTCCTTTTCTTGTCGCACACAGCTGCAATCTCTACGATCACCAGATTTCAGGTTGGTAACTATAGCGCTTCCTCGTTTAGGATTGTTCAGTACGAAAGAGCAAGGAATTTCCTGTCAAAACTGCCTGAAGTAGTACATGGATCATTACTGAGCTGGAACCATGCTGAATCATGAACTTCGGGGTTTGCACCATGGTGCAAAGGGGGGAGAGGGGGGGGGGGAGGGGTGGAAGCCATTTTAAGGACGGCGTCACCCGTCAGGACGGGAAGAAAGGGATGGATGGACTTTCAAGCAGACCTTCTGGGGCGAAGCAATATATCTTCTTGGAAGGAAATGGAATAGCACCCGAAGAGAATTGCTCCCGAACAAGCCAGTATGCATGCGACCAACGGCCTCCCTCTACAGACGAGTCCTACGAAACCATCTGGCCATTCACGATAAACTACGATGCTTGGATACGATACCAAGCGCAGAGGGCTCAAGGCCCACTTAATGCGCCCTCGCTCCAGCAACCACGCCAGGTGCCTTTTGCGACTGTTCTTTTTTTTTTTTCCCAACAGGGCTATTGCGACATTGGTCGTTTCCCCAATTGTCTGTCCTTTTGCGACATTGCTCGTTTCCCCCGTTGTCCTTTTGCGACGACTCCACAATCCTGTTACATCAACAGCGTCATAGATGAGATTCTTCTTCAACTCTCTTCACACCACACGCCCGTCAAGAATGTCACAAGTGAACATTTGAGATTTTCTTTTTAAAGATTTCTCCCCATCAAGCGACACCGAAAATACTATTTATTTGCGACAGATCCGTGAATCAGGAAATCACGTAATTTCCCACCGCATCGGTTTGCTTCTCTCGGACTTATCTAAGGCATTGCTGAGCACAAACTTTCGCCTTTGAAAACAGGAAAATGACCTCATGAGGCGCTTCTCAAATCCATGGTAACCGTGGCTAAAATACACCACTCAACATTCGAAGTGGACCACTGCAATAAATAACTATAAACGTTACATTGCTTCTTTGCAATCTTTTGGCTGCGACCAATCGAAAAGAAAATTGCGATCCACTTCGAATGAGGAGCGGTGTATATTTCAGCCAGGGTTTAGAGCTGAAATAGTTTTAGCACATCGACGCAGGCAATTAAACGAACGAACTTGCAGAACATAACGAGGCATCGATAGAACGAAGCCCTGATTAACGTGACACTGCACATGCACCCCCCCCCCCACCCCCCCACTCATCAAGTGGGGGGGGGGGGGCCAGGTGCCTTCCTTCGCTCACCTGCCTTCACCTTATACTGGGACGATCAAAGCGTGCAGGCGGAAAAGAGCTGGGAGGTCGTCAGCTGATGGTCTTAAACCAATCATGATCATGAGAACCTGCGGATGCACACTCCACTCCATCAAATCCCCTCGTCTGTCCTTGACCGGTAAACCATATCAGAGATGAGGGAAGGACATGGTGACCTTCGTGTTATCTATGTGTCACGTTGGTCGTCGGGGGACGGACTTTTATCAGATCTGGCGCAAATGACGAGGGCCCACGCAACCTCTCTTCTCTCTCCCGCGAGACCTTTAATCTCTGTAAAGCCGGATGCCTCGGGGAAACTCCATTTGGTTGGAAGTGGTTAATGCGAATATACGCTTCGCTTCGTCGGGGTCAAAAACAACTCAGAAATGGAGGCGGGAGTGCCTAGGTATCGAACCACCCTCGTACAAAAGGGGAAAACATAAAATTAAGACTAGAATTGGTATGCCAGATCTGTCATTATGCCGTATCTGTGCGAGAAAAAGTATGATACTTAGATGGAGCAAGTTCCTAGGATAAAATTACACACGTTTTAATATAGTGTTACCTTACGAAACGGTGACACCCTGACCCTAATTACAGGATCATGTCCTCTTCACATCTGAGTGCTCCATATTTTTGCTCAGATGGAGGGAAAAAAAAGCAGTACTTCAGATACCATCAATCCGATGATGAATGGCTAAAATATCGCTGCGTTTATTCCCTTCACGATGGAAGCTAGTCTTTGGCAAAGATCAATTCCATTCCACGAATCATGATTTAGAGCAGGACGGGAGGATTAATAACGTCGTCGATCCAGTCTCGAAAGCGAGCGACTCTGGTGTAGACTCCAGGGAATTTCGCAGCTCCGCAGCCGAACCCGAAGGAAACCACGCCGGCCACCGTAAACCGCCTGGTCACCGGGTTGTCGTACAGCAACGGTCCTCCCGAATCACCCTGTTGTCGAAAGGAAACCACTCTGTTGAAGGGGATTTTGTTTTAGGTTAGAGAACCGATTCCTCTCTCAGACACAAGTATTTCCAGTCAGATATCTCAACCTGATCATTTCACAGATTGTCGAGTGGGGCTCTATCGAATCCAAGCACCTTAATAGAAGAAATTTAAAAAAAACTAAGTCTACAAATAAAAAGGGAGGTCGGTGAACCCCACTATAATATTCCTTCATTGGTAACGTATCCTGTAATCAGCCTAAAAATACGGCGTCCTTTGAAGTATTCATTTCACAAGTGGAAGGAATGAATATATTGATTTCTCGCTCTGCTTGTTCGGGACGCATTTGTAATTGATAATTCTTTCCTACAACTCTTGATGGTGATGCGAGAACTCATGCTGACTGTGTCCATCGATCAGAAAGAAATTTATCGTAAATTTAATTTCAAGCTATAGAATTGTGCTTTGAGATGGAATTTGGCACTATCGTTGTCATTGTCTCAATGTTATCATTGTCATTGTCACGCCTCGTGATTTTGATCTTAGCTGCCAAGTCGATTAATCGACCGTATAAGCCAGTGGTGCACAACCTTTCCTTCTAAAGGGCCTAATTGAGGTCATGCTCATGTTCCAGGGCCGTAGACCCTCGAACAAGAGCCAAAATAGGCCGCATATGAATACGGATCTTTAGAGACCGGAGGCATCCAAGTAGCCGCAAAAAAGGTCTCTGCAGGCAGCATGCGGCCCGCGGGTTGTGCATCACTGGTATAAGCCAATGGTGCCCAACACAATCCGTGTCCCGCGAGGCCCTAACAAAAACCCTCAGGTTTTCCTTAAAATAGTCTCCTACAATACTGATGACTGCATATGACTGCATGTGTCCCGCGTTGGCATTGGGAATGGGCTTTGTGGCCCCCAAGTCGAAAATGTTGGGCACCACTGGTCTAAGCGATTAGTCTTGAATGCAATGAAGCACTAACCGAGCCTTGGTTGTTTCCTAATTCCGGATTAGGACCAGCCTGTCTTAAATAAAAATACATTCTGCTGTTACCCAGTAATTTTTCGACTCTACTTTCAGAGTAAAATCCTATTGTCCAACCTTGGCCACATTTTTCTCGATTTTTCGCGTAATTGGATTCGACGCAATACCGCACCAGCTTCGACCACCAAGCCTTCTTCCCTCCCTCCCTCCCCCCCCCCCCACCCCCGCCTTTGATTTCCTCGAACGATGAAAGAGAAAAGGGTTGAAGAAAAAGCCTTTCACCACTTCCGCGGAGAATCCGAGCGATTCATACACAAAGGGCCCATTGCGGGATAAGCCGTGACAAGCGAAATGGACGAGTGATAAATGCCTCCCTCCAGAGGGAAACAATATCCCTCCTCCCTCTCGGATCTCGAGTCTGGATCGCAAGAACGAATTGCAAGCTGCTGTATGAATGAATCTCTCTCGTATCGGCCAGCTCTTTTTTTTTTTTCTACGTAATATCAGTTTCCTTTGTCTTGGCGACTTGCCCTGGAAAAGGGACAGGAAAGAGGTTTATGGACGCAATTGGGACCCTGAAAAAGAGGCAGAAGAGCTGCCCTTTCTGTCATCTCCTCTCCATAAAAAATTTATTGAGTGTTGTAAAAAAATAAAAAATAAAAAAAGGAAAGGGCAAGGGACTCCCCTCTTGATTAGTGGCGGTGACCCAGTTGTCGAAGTGCTAAAAGTGTCTGACAGGCGCAATAAGAGAGACTGAATGCCACTCCCTGATTGCTGCACGATATGGCGAAAAATGTCCGAAGGAATGAGGGTGCCAGTTTATTTCTATTCTATTGCCCCATGCAGTGCTGGGGCCAGGATAGCACTTTGTCTAGCACAGTGGGTCATCAAATAAAAGGACAATTGGGCTTTCAGCCAATCTATTGGGCCCGAAACTTCAAAGCCCTCCATACAATTTAAAACTAATATGTAATTAATTAATTAAAGACAAAAGAACACCGGGCCCAGGCCAATCACAGTTATAGGGGATGGCAATGGTCTATCACAGACCTAGATGTGGGCTGCCCACCAATGATCTTGAGGCTTAGAACGGGCGCTTGGCCATGAACAAGGATAACGCCATGAACAGGCACTACATCAAAATACAGCTGAAGGGACACCAGGCATAGGTTAGGCAAATGCCACTGTGGGCCTATGGAATGTCCGCAGTCTGCAGGTGCCAGATCACATGAGGTGGTCCCTTGTAAGTTCTCTCACGCCTGGAAAGTCTCACTTTTTACCACGAAGGGAATCCACCCAGAAGAAGGAAGAGAGCAAGCAAAAAACAGGAAGGACAACCACGAGACGAGAAAGAACCGCCGACCAGCCTGAAGACAGGAATCCAACAGACACACCCCCAACCCTGGTTGCTCTCTTGACGCCACCAACTTGTTCGAGTGTCGTGTCGGGCAGAAAAGGAACATCCATTGTGGGTGCTTCTCAAAATTTTCACGAAATTTTGGAGATCACTAAGTCATTTCTTCTGTGAGAAGTTACTACGGCACGAAACCTATTCACGATATAACTTCTTGACTGGGTTACACATATTGAGCAACCCTGCTTGCCGCTCTGTCGTCTGCTTATCGTCAGGACATTACATCAACCCCATATTCTAGTTTTTTTTTGACGTCTCAGACGATTGAGAAAGGCAGTCACACATGAAAAATTTCATGGAGCGCTGTTTCGGTGATGCTGATTTTTCATACCATGTGTTACGGTTGCTCGCGTCCTGATTACAATTTCAATAACTGATTTTTTTTAACCCTGAGAAGAGCCTCGAGCGGATTCTTCGCTGCGATTTCACATCCCTGAATTTGGAAGCGTGCAGTTGAAACATTGGATACATTTCTCATTGTTGAGAATTTTTCAATTGCAACTAAGCTAAGTCCAGCTCGACCGATCTCACGACCAAAATGCACGGTAGACTCAAGCCTACGGAAGAAACGAACCCAGAGTTCCGAACGACTCAAACCTATGAAAAAATAAATGGAATAAAGGTCACTGCCCCCCCCTTTGCCCCCCTTTGCCCCCCTTCGCCCCCCAAAAGGGATACGATCCCTGCAGAACTACTACAATCGAGCTAAAGGAAAGAATGATGTCCACAGTTTGGTCCGGCATATCATTCATCCTTACAGGCTGCTGGAGAAATTCTATATAAATTCTATAAAAAATTTCCATATATTGCAGAATGATGAGACCAGCAAGAAAATATTTTCTCAGCCTCTAACAACCCTCAGCCAACCGGATAATTTGAGGAAACTTCTCCCCTCCAGGAAAGGTGGTCCTTCCATCCAACATCCTATCTGCACCACCTCACCATCCTATCTGTACCACCTCACCATCCTATCTGCACCACCTCATCTGCTCGAAGGTTGCTGTTCAGGAAAAGAAAAGGACCGGATACTCCATGAACCTTTCCCGCATGAAAGGCTCACACAAGAAGATCGAAGAAGGATTTTCATGTTCGTGTCCCTTCTTTCCCGCCACGAAGTGACTCCTCAATCCACCCAATAACGTGGAATGAAATCGAAATCGGCGGGTCTCACCAGGGAGTCATAAGTTCACCGTAGAATAAGGTCATTTGTTAAGATTCTTGATTGAATTGGTGCTGAGTCGTGATTTTTCCCCGAGGGAATTCCGGGCAGCTTCTGAAATTCGATCGAGTGAATGCACTAAATTAAACAAGACGCAGTTACTCCTGATTCCTTAAATAAATAAATAAATAAAAGTGAGGAGGACGATCGCATCCCGAGCCCAAGGAGCATTGCCATGCATTATTATCTATTAGTACCTGCACCGATTCAAAGTGAAATGATCTCACCAGACCTCAAGTTACGAAATGCCGCGTGTAAAGCAGACTTTTAAATCGGAAACAACTTAAGTGTTTGTTTTTAGAAGACGCCAGGAATCGATCTCACGAGTTGAGCGTAAAACCTCGCAAGAGTCCGTATCGTGCGTTTTGCTCCCACAGAGATATCATCGTATCACAATATTAACCATTATACTCCATTACACGACCGCCGACATCAAACGAACTGCGCCAGGGCCCGACCCGTTCCTCTAATCATCGATGAGAAACGAGCGCTTCACCCTCGGCAATCTCGTCCGTCCGACCGAGGTCTATCATAAGAAACGACCCTCGAGATATCCCGAGGACCTTTCCGACTCCAATCTCCTCATTTCCTCTCATTTTTTTCCCACGACGATAAACCGGGATGAGGGCAGAGGAAACTCCATTTATAAATAATTTTCAATCGAACAAATTTGCACCCGAAACCCACCCACACCACCTCCAAATCACATGCATTTATCGATAAAATATTTCTAATATGAATTCACCTGACAGGAGTCCTTCCCCTCCACCCCCGCACAAAGCATGAGGTCCGTGATCCCCTCCGGGAATCGGCGGGCGCTCTGACCCGCCAAGGTCGCGTAGGTGGCGTCGCAGTCGGCCAGGGAGACCACGGGCACCGACACTTCCTGCAGGACGTTGCTCGTTCGTTTCCCTGTGCGATGGGGAAAGGGCGACGCGAAGGTTGCGGCATTAAGTTGTGGCATGATTTAAGAATTTAAAATTCTTATATTTTAAGTTTAAAATTCTTACTTTCTAAATTTAAAATTCTTACTTTCTAAATTTAAGAATTTTAATAATTGAAAATTGCATCGGAGCGACAAGAGTGATCCGTGGTGTCTTTCCTAAAAAGCGACACATTTTAACGAGAAAGATATCGTCTATCGATCATCAATCGATGAATCGATCGACTAATCGAATTCTTATCGAAGCTATCAGCTTCGTCCAGCAGAATATTCCGAAACGAAGAGGACCAAATCAGCGAAACAGCTACAAGAACCGTGTAGCAACTTTTGCCCCACCCTGTAAGGAAGGTATTGGTATTCAATACCAATACCTTCCGAGAGATCCTCGCTGTCTCGACGAGAGCGCGGAATTGGGGTCGACCTAAATAGGATCTTCGGCCTCGCGAATGATGGCCCCCATCGAATGATGGCTGAGGGTATCGAGACTACTCGGGGCAAAAAAGAAAAAAAAAATGGGGGGAAACCCTGGCGTCGATCACATCTGTGCTCGGAATCTTCCTTCATTCCCATCATCATCATCTTTTGTTCCTCTGCTCCTTCCGTCTCCTGGCCGGGGCGAGGCCCGAATGATTCATCGCGGCCCTTTAAATCCAGAAGCGCCGTTTTCTCCTACCGTTCCGCCACGCGATCGGCAATTTACGATGCGTCTGGAGATTAATTTCCTCGTCTCGGAAAAGCAAAAAAGTTGTCTGACGAGGCCTGTCGATATCGAATCAATTTCCAAGACAAATCCGCTCGATGGCACCAGCGTTTTTACCCGGGGAATTTCTGCGGCAAGTTCCTCGCTTTTTCGACTGGGCGTTGTGGGCCGATAGAAAAAAAGAATCCAGGTATAAAAACGACATGCATCATTAAGTATAATTAAATAGAATAATTAAATAGAATAGAAAATTAAGCCATCGATGCCACGAGAATTAAGCCAATTAATGCAATTTTTTTTGGCGATGTGCCGTCCAGACGGCCAAAGCCATCATTCGGTATTCGCCAGAAAGGCCATCTTTTCTTCTTCATCTCACTTTTGCATCGTTCAAAATAAAAACCAAATGTATCCATTTTTTCTGCACGACTGGCTGCCGGTTCCGAGCCATTGTTTACATCGGATTTCTGTCACAATGCATTCCTTTTCGCCTTTTTTCCGAAACGGCGTATTTCGGGGAAGTCGGAGGGGAAAGAAAGGCGAGATCCGAAGGCCGATCAAGGGCCGATCGATTCAGATCTTCAGTTTAAAACTTTAAATTGCTTCATCCGTTAAAGCTACGAAAAGTACTGAGGTAAAAAAATATATATATATATTCGGGAGCAGGGTTTCTTCCCCCTTACCTAGATCGGTCTGGGTGGGACTGACACCGTGGTCACCATGGAGACTGAACTCACACACACACACACACACACACACACACACACCCCCATGCTAGCGGGCTTTATTAAGTTTTCTATTATTATTATTATTATTGTACAAGTACGAAGTGGACTCATTTGCGTACATCAGCCAAAGCAATGGGTTGCTAGGCAAAACGGAAGGCTTCTTGTTTTAGGAGCGTTTAATTGTAGTGGGGTGCATTCCTCCATCGCCTAGATTGGTTTGGGTGGGACAGGCACCATTGGTATTTCCTTTCCACTATCTATGCGCCTTGGTGGGAAGCAGGCCACTGCCCTACCAGGTAATCGCTTAAAAAGCCGTTCTTTATTAAACATAGGACTCAACATTATTACACCTGCTGTCTGTTCTGGTCAAGTTCTTACTTTGCATTCAGCAGCTCAAGGTACATATCTGGCTACAGAAATCACTTGGTGCGGTCTCTGGGGGAGGGGAATGGTGGCTTTTGAGCCGATCAGGCAGCTGTTTGTTTCTCCTAACTCTCCTCTCCAAGTCTCACTCTCAACTCTGTGTTCCGTTAAATGTATTCGTCTTTTGTAGGTGCAGTCGAGTTTTTGAGCAGTACTCTAAGGGTTGGCCGCTCTTAGTGGTACTTCAACCATCGGCCTTCAAATGTAATAATCGACGTTGTCGTACCTGTCCCTACATGGTCGAGGGAGGGAACCTGAATCTAAGTAAACCCTTCTGCAAAAATAGCCATTTAATTTACAAGATCACCTGCAATTCCTGTGGGCTCGCCTACGTTGGCCAGACCAGCACGGCGCTGAACATGAGGATGAATAATCATCGTTCATGCATTAAATTGAACAGAACCCTTGATATCGAAATCCGGCATTTTCAGAAACACAGTTTTGATGATATTTTCTAGTTGAAATCCTTAGGATTGTCGCAGATGAAGCTGAGAGACTGTCTGCCGAAGATAATCTGATCATTTGCCACAGGACACTTTATCCTTACGGCCTTAATGATAGGTATCAAGGCATGAACATGTCCATGAACCTTAGCCAACATTGCATTTATAATATTCTGCAGAATTCGAGTTTTGGGCAGAGAGCCTCGCAAAGAAGGCCTAGAAGGACCTCAGTTAACACGAACCCTTACAAGAAGTTTGTGAACTTCCATTCGATGCTGAAGAAATGGGAAAATTACTTTTTAGCAGAGAAGAATGCCATTAATAAAATAAAGAGCGAAATTAATTTCCTTTGCAAAACCAAATTGAAATTTCTACTCAATGTTATTAAAAGCGAAGAGGACAACAGGCACTTCTGGGACTTTGTCATTCACTTCTGTAAATACAAGCTGAAAATTAATTCCCTGGAGAAAAGAAAAGCTCGTACAAAATCCTTCATCATTATTCCGTTCTTAAGCAAATGTCTAAATTCCTTCAAACTGAATGCCGTTCTAGGTAGTTCAGCTGCCAGAGATAAATTTCCTGTCAAAAAATACATATCCTAAGATTTCCTACAGCCTGCAGAAACCTTTTGGCAGGATCGTGTGCAACTATCGACAATTCATTCAAAACCTCGACTTGACAACTCTTGAAGGTCTACCCTGTGCATGTAATGAGGGCAAATATAGGAAATTCATAGACAGGCATCATGGGCATGTTATTACTGGAGATTTGGACATAGTTGCAAACGCCAAACTTAAAAACCTATTTCGAAAAGGTAGCAAATACAGGATGAACAAGAAGTTAAATAAGGATGTATTTTATCAGGAGTTCCTAATGGCTTTAGATAAATTCGTAAAAAGCGCGGCTTGGAAGGCGGGAATTCCTCCCAAGTCCTTTCTAGAGTGGAAAATCTACATTACTGGACGTGTCAGGCTCCTGCTCCGTAATTTCACTCCAATAGGTTCTGAAAATCCCTTCGATTTCAGCAAATTAGAACTTAAAGACGCCCTGGACAGGCTTCAAGATAATGTTATAATCACCGTTATCGACAAAGCAAGTAATAACTTCTGTTTCATCTACAAGAAATTATATGGTCTGATCATGGAGAAAGAGATTAATGAAAGTCCTACATGTGAACAGGCTGGAGAGAGGCAAAATAGAATCTTGAGCTCTCTCATGAAAATTAATAGCAGATTTAACATTGAAGTGGACGAGAAAAACATGAAACTACCCTTCTTGTTTGCTAACCCCAAGTTCCATAAGAACCCTATTAAATTTAGATTCATTGCGAGCTCAGTAGGTACCTGCTGTAAAGGACCTTCCCTTCTACTGAACGGCATCCTGGACAGGCTCCGTGACAGGATCAAGCAAAAGTGCAAAACCTGCCACTGTCACTGGATCGTCAATAATAATAGAAAGGTCCTGCTTGCAATTAAAGCCCTTAACGACCTCGAAGAAGCCTCCACCGTCATGTCATGGGACTTCTCGACGCTCTATACTAAGATTCCCCTGGAATTACTAAATCGTGTCCTTCTGGAACTTTTCGAAACGTATGTAGGAACAGGGTTCACCTTCAAGTACGCTTTCGTGAATAAGGATTTCTTCTCCGACCTGCTCAAGAAATGCCTGGAGAACAATTATATCCAAATAGGGGACAGCATTTTTAGGCGAAAGATTGGAATTCCCATGGGAAGCAACTACTCTACCAACATGGCGAATCTCTTCCTATTTTATTATGAAGCTAGGCACATGAACGAGACGTCCTTTCCAGATGATTACCGATTCACCTACAGGTACATTAATGACCTCGCAGCGATCAACAAATCCAGAATTCAGGCCGAAATCGATGGCATTTACCCAGATTGCTTGGAATTGGAGGAAACGGTCTCGTCCCCGTTCAAATCCGCCCATTATTTAGACCTAAATATCGCAGTTGATGATTCAGAAAGACGCTTCATTACCAGCATCTACGACAAAAGAAGAGATTTCGAATTCGAATTCCTGAGTCTGCCGAATGCAAGTAGTAATATCCCTAGGCATATTATTAAAAACGTCGTCGCTTCTCAGCTAAAAGGATACGCAGATATTTGCTCTGAGGCGGACGGTTTCCTCTCTAACAGTTGGCTCTTACACCAGAGGCTCCTGGATAATGGTTATGAAGAAGATTTCCTTAAAAGACTATTTAAACTTCTCTCGCAACAATCCAAGTACGATCTCATTAAATACACTCCTGAATGTAATGGTCTTGCATCCTTTTGGAAAAGATTCATGGACATTTCCGTAGCTCGACCTGTAAACAGCTCGGATGTGCGACCCTTGCAGCACAGAAGTGACTGCAACACAGAACCGGTGCAGGAATATTATACCAGTGATTGGGCTCTTTCCCATAGCTTTTGATTCTATCAGATTCTATCAGGAGCCGTGTCTGCGGCATTTGGTTCGTCGTCCGCAGGCGGCCCAACCATTAAGCATTGCTTAAAATTACTCACCCCTTGAATCCCATACACTCCCTAAGGAGAATCACTCTCACCCGTCATGAATGACGCAATCCATCTCTTATTGCGAACACGTATCGAAGTAAATCTATAATTCTTTAATTAAGTACACTTCCAGTTTTATTGATGATCCCAACATCACTTGTGGTTTTCCCAGACAAGGGTTCTGTAACTATATTGCTGTGCACCTAGTGTATCTAAGGATAAATCTATATCTGCATGCATAAGCCATTATCTAATATGTATAGATGATCTTGACTGACTGACTGGCTGACTAACGTTAATTCTAACATGTTCTAGAAAAGTTAGAAATCTGAAACTTGATACACATGTACCTACTGGGGTGCACAGTTCAGAAAAAATCCGACTTTGGAGGTAAATGCCCTGGGGGTACACATTTTGGCGGGACAATTTTTTAAATATATATTGTTACGTATGAGAATGGGATTCAGAGGGCCGACTGGATGTCCTGGGTTTTGTATGTATTGGTTGCATGTATGGCGGCCAATCAGTAGGCAAGGGTTCAATTCCCGGTCATTCCGTGGCTTTCACTAGGGTTTTTTGCCTTTCATATACCGTTACTCATTCTTCCACCATAACATCACTCTTGCTTGTGTAAAACGGTGAGACATGGAACGATGAAACCAGGCATGGACGTGCCTACAGAGACGATGAGTTCAGGAAACATCCAAGAAATTCTTTATTCATGCATGGGGGATATTTTTAGTGGCTGACGTTTTCAAGTATTTTTTTGTCTTGGCGTATTGAGCTAATGCGGAAAGATGATACTTGGTACATAACTACCTATTCGGATGCTGCAGAAAAAATTCAGACTTTGGAAGTAAATGCCCTTGGTGCACAAATTACAACAGGAGTTGTTTTCAACTAATTTTTTTGCATAAGTTAAGTTGATGAACATGGACAGCTGAAACTTTTCATAAATGTGACTACTGAGACAAGGAGTTAAAGAAAAATATTAAGTCTCAATACATCCCCTGGAGGATTTTTTCGAGGGGCGATATTTTAAAGGAAAATTTTTCTTGCCGATTATCAGAAAAGAAAAGTGAAACTTGGCACACATATAAGTGACATGATGTTATTGCGTTAGGGATATTCAGCTATCATGTTGCATCCCCTCAGGGAATAGCTTTTGGGTGCGTCGGCTTTTCCATACATGTTTTTTCACCAGCGAAAAGACAAACATATCATGTGGAAACTTTGTGGGTATGTAGTTCACTGAAAATGGTTTTCGGTAATAAAAAAAATAATAATAAAATTATGTTTCAGTTAAAATGGGTGAGGTCCCATTTTGCAAAAAGTGTATTTTCCGGAATTTTCTGATTCAGCAAAACAGAGTGCCCTAGCAACTTTAAACTTGGCAAATAAGTACCTAATGGGTAGCTGAGTAAAGAAGCACTTATCCTTTTGTTATATATAGACGATCATGATTAGCCGACTAACATAATTAGCTATTCGCATGTTGAGCTCAGGAAAAATTATTCTTTCGTGATACATACCATATGAGCACTCCTTTCCAGGGAACATGTTTCCAAAGAGTTCTCTTTCCTTCAATCAAGCGGAGACACATGGAAAGCTGAAACTTGGCAGGAACGTGACCGCTGACGCACTGAGATCAAATACCAAAAACGTCAAATTCCCAAAGTATTTTTGGGGTTCATAATACCTCGGGACATAACGTTTTCAAATAATTTTTCATATCCCAGCGAATCGGGCAGAAAAAGAAACGTAGCTGCCGCACGCATAACGGACGTGATCATCACGTCCGTTATACGGACGTAATGTGACCACTCTTGTGCCACGTTTTAGTAGGACCAACATGAATAAATTCTCCCATGACACAAATACGTACGTGTGTCGTTTGCACACTATATCTAGTAATTTCTCTTGGGGTTGTTAGAGTCAAATCGATGAAAAGTACAGGTCGTCCGGAATTACCTTAAGCTCTTAGAAAGACCGAGAGAATAATAAGCATCGGTGAATTGAAAAATAAACTGCATTCGAAAGCCATGATCGACGTCAATCAGAATTGCCTTTACCTCTTTGAAAATTTACTAAAGGAAATAGTCATTGCTTAATCAAAATGGAAGCGATGGCGACACGTCTTTCCAAAAAAGAATTATGAAAATAAGGCGCATTTGCACGGTCCAATCAGAGAGCAAGAGAGGAGGAGCTTCAGTTTTTCCTCTCCAGGGTCGGTCAATCTCTCACGAGCTTGGTGTATATGGTGCCCTTGGATAGTCTTCACTCATTCAGTAGCTAACACAAGGTGTTCATCCCGAGAAGTGAGTTCCGTCTTCATATTTATGCTTAGTTTGGTGTGCATGCAATTTCTATATATGCTCTCTCAGGGGTCCCCATTTCGGAAATTGACCAGCTTTCACATGTACCTGCTACATTCCAGCATGCCACTTTTCTTTCTTTCTATGCCCTTCCTAAATTGTGGGCCCCTAGAAAAGGTGAGCATTTAGTTAATCAAAAGGTACTATTGACCGAGTCATGAATATGTAATGATTTATCATCTAAATTGTTCCTACGTTCATGGAGGCCTGGTAAATATTCGTACGTATCAAATCTCTGTACTCCAAGCCGCTTGTAGCGGGACTCCGTTTGCATGCTAATATCTGATGCACACCATAACATAAACTGGAATACAGTAAAGCACTGAAACATTTTTTTCATGCGAAAATAAAAATTTGATCGCTAACTCCAATTTCGTGAAGGTTCATTGTTAATTTGATGACGGAGTCAACATTTATGAGGAGTTGGTGACGAGTTCATCATTGGCGTAAAGTCAAATATATACATATAATATATTTTCTATTTTTAGATTGGTGATCATACGTGTCGGAGTAGTGTCTCTCCTTGAATCCAGCAGCTCTGAGATGAAGAAATACAACTTACCCTCCACCTCTGCCAGTGAAAATCTATCTCCTGGAAATCCTGTCTCCGATCCAAGTTAGTTTTAGGCATACTGACTTGAAATTATTTTGAACTCAGATATATTTTATATTTATGAATGATTGTCCTCAGTCTGGGAGTGATTTTTTTTCGAAAGGAAAGGGATTTCATAAATGGGGCGGAAAAGCCAGAAACATATGTGCCTTTTAAGCCATTTATTTATACCCTAGACAACCAGTTATTTTCTTTACGGGTAATTATCATCATGAAAGATCGAATTGTTCATTTTAATTTGAATGTCAACGGGTGCAGATTCTCTAACTTTTCTATAGGTTCGGCGGGATGACGAAAGGACGTTGTGAGTGCTAATAAAAAGAGACGTCCAACACTGGTCAAGCCAATGGCTCTGTTCAAAGACAAGAAGAGTCGCTTTCTGCGGAGGATCTTTCTCATGGTTAGCGACAACATTGGAGATAAGACTGGAAACCGCCTTAGGATGAAAGGAGGAGATCATAAAGAGTACCTGGCCATTAATACAGCAAAACTACACTGTGAACCAAGGAACATCGAGGTCAGGTTTGCGATTTGAAATTCAGTGTCACTTGTCTTTCTCATTTTTTTTTATTTTCTGGTATAGCGGATCTTAGGGTTGCGGTCTTTGGCCACAATCATTTTCTGATTCAACTGCTCCATCATTCCCCAAATTTGGCTGACTTTCTCGCTCGTTCGGCCAAACATAGAATGAATGCGGGTCACTTGATGTGCCTCCTTCCTGTTTTTTTTTCGGAGGTTAGAGTATCGATCAAAAACGCAAAATCACAGCGTGAAAAAGGTTGAGGTTGGAAATTTTTGGGGGGCACATGTCACGAAGACTGAAGGTAGGGCGGGGGGCTGCCGGGATTGGACGCAAAAAATGCAAGTCACGAGTGGTATTTGAACCCGGGTCTTTTAACCTCGATCAGTTCCGCTACCACTGAACCACCGAAACCAACTCATACCCTAACGATACATATAACCACAACCATGGGTTTCTGTTCTAACGCAAACGGACATTCCTTCCGTTCAACATGTCTACATATTAAAATTACTATATTTTTCTCATATTTCGCAGCCAAAATATCCACCATCGCAATCCACTCAAGAGCTTGTGATTGATATGTCACATGCACCATTCGACGGGTCGGAAGTCTTTCCCTCATGGGTAATTGTTAATTAGCAGTGGGAAAAGTGCAATTAGCAATCGGACGTAAAGGACATCGTTGATATCGAAGAGACTGCCTAGTCCGATCCAAGAAAGAGCATTAAAAGGACAGCATCATATAAACGAAGTAATTAACTTTTAAATTTATTAATCAATTAAACCATTTTTGTGCAAGGTTTTTGATCATGGCAATCAATATGAGACCGCTCTCACCTTCACACGATTTCTACTTGATGGGTAAGTGATTCGGTAAACTGGGATATATGTGGATTTAAAAATGCTTTGCCAACGGAAGAAAATTGTTCCCCCTGTATCCGTCACTGTTTACTGGCTAACAGGTGTATATTTCATGTCTTCTTAGTTGGAGTTTGAAGACTTCAGGCATTCTGCTGCAATCCCGGTGAAACGTATCTACGGAAAAAACAAGATGACGGCATCTATAATAAAGGATCACATGAAGACCAGAAGACTCCAGGAGTTCGTGCGGAGTCTCAACGAAAGAATTATGCAGATCCGTCATGAGCCAGGTGCGAAATCAGGCACCAGTCCAAAGGAACATAGAAACCAGTTCGTTGTTATCACTCACTAAAAATCTTCAACATTGAATCTCAATACTTACAAAGAAAATGCTTTACACTGCCACATTTCTGCACTGTCTTGACAGAGTTCATGGATGCCTTGCAGAGTCCCCAGGGTCGCAAACTTCAATCCCTCCAGCCACCTCCTGTGCCCAAGAACTGCTAAGTAGGACAGCCGACACTGGAAAGAGGAGTATTAGCTCCGAACGGAAGAGGACACACAGAAAAGCTATGCCTGCAGAACGACATGAAGCCTGCTTTTATGGTACTTTGGGAGAGCATTGTCCTCTTTAATCTGGAGCTTCATTGGAAACGATATCGCAATGCGCTCAAATCTTAATAATTTGAGCAGTATATGTAGGGGTCAGAAAAACGACGAAATAGTGAAGGAAAAAATTGTATGGGGTAGGGAATACCAATAAATAATATGCATGCAGTTTCAATTTAAGTTTCCATTTGAATTTAATCGTAGATAGCTTCCTGATGCGAAAGAACCATATCTGAAAAGTTGAAACGCTTGCTATGTTGCTAGTCTAAGGAGAGAAACCTTCTGTCTAGGGCTGTACCGATGGTCACATTTGGATAACTATTGTCTCATACCTATTAGCTGGCGCCGGAGCCGATGTTTATCGTGAAGTAGAGAGAAACAGGGAATTATAATTTTATTAAATATTTATTGAAATTGAACTATTCATGCCATTCATACCATTCATAGCCATGTTCTATTTTTTTTTCTGTCGCGCTAGGTGTTTAAAAAATATCGAAGCATCGAAATGAGGCATAATGCATCGATGGAACCAGAGAGAGGGATCGGGGGATTCAGTCTTTCCTCACTGTGATGGGACGGAGGCGTCACTTTCTTCGTTTCTTGCCTTGCTTGGGGCGACCATCTCAATCCGTACTCCGAAATCTGTCGCCTGTGATCGGAGAGAGAGAGAGCGGGAGAGAGAGGGGAGGGGGAGGGGGAAGTGCGACCTTCTCTACGGGTAATAAAATCCCATCATTCCTCCAACTATCGAAAATGACATTCATTCATCGATGGATACAGCGAGTGGGACCGAGTTTTTCCTATTGCTGTTGATAATCAATTGCCAATCCCCGTATCCCCGTTCATATATTTTTCTTTTCCTTTGATACATTACGCATGTTCTTCTTAGGACATCGGCACTTGGAGCTTGTAAACCGCCCGATAGCGCATATTGGACCATACAGGCGGCCGATAACAGAAGTTGCCGATATATTGGTACAGCCCTAGTTTTTACATGTTTTACTTATAACGAATATGCGCAAAATATGAAGTGCACACCAAGATTTCCCATTTTCATCAAGGCACACTTGATGAAATCAGATTGTTCCATTCTCACTACAGGGACTGTAGTGAGAACTACACTACAATCCCTGCACTACAGAAGGACACTACAGGGTGACATGAGGAAGCTTGGGAATAACCTGGAAGATGTCATCCGGAAGATGACTTTAAGGACTTCATTTTCCGAGTATGATTCCTTCATTTGACCCTCATTCGGATTTGTTATCTGAAGTATCAACATCAACGATGAAAAACTTTTATTTATTATTGTGTTTTCGATCCCAGCCCTAAGCGTCGCAGCATAGAAGAAAAAGCACTTCAAATATCGAAATTTGACAGGCTTGCTGGAATAAGGGAGGATGAGATGGACCACAGATATTCACATCATGTGACAGACTTGGCGCTCAAACCTTTCATGAGATTGGAAAACCCAGAGAAGGAGAAAGAATGGAGGGCTATGTGGAACTATGTATAGGCGGACAAGTAACACAGAATACTGAAGAACTGGGAGCTGACTCTGAGATTATCACTGTTCTTGGAAGTCACCTTGAGGTGCCTGAGGGTTATTTTGATCAACCATTTCGTAGCGCCGTATTCGCAGTTGAGGTGAGCCTGCAATAATATATATGCCTTCCCATCCTACTTCACTTCATCCTACTTTCGTCGTTTCTACAGTAGCTTCGATCGGGGCGGACTTCCATCCGTATTCCACAATCCGTTGTCTGTGATCGTAGAGTGTGGGAAGGAGGGTAAGTGTGACCTTCGCGACGGGTAATAAAAGCCTACCATGCCTCCAACTATCGAAAGTGACATTCATTCATCCATGGATGTATCAGGAGGGCCCAACTTTTTCCAAGCCCCTTTCTTGTGGATGTTATTCATTTTTTATTCGTTCTGTGCGTTCATCTTAGGACATTGGCACAATCTGCTTCATCGGCAACAGGCCGATATGCAAGCTGCCGGTGCCGTTCTGGTGACTGATACCGCTGGTTGCCAATGGGTTCAAAAACCTGTCCTGCCAAGCAAGGGGGTAGAATGTCTCTTTGTTTCCCCCTTCTTTTCTCCTTAATGCGCCTTGGCCTTGAAGCATCTAGATGATGGTCTTACAAACGAGACCAAGTGCGACAGATAAAGCTCAGTCAAATAATTTTGACTTTCTGGAGGGGGAAATATAAATAATGCAATCCCGACATCCTCTTCTTGTGTTTCAATTTTTTCTTTCTTGCATTCCTGTTTTATTGATGGCAGAGAAAAGCGATGCCATTTGCACAGGACAGCAGAAACCGCCTAGCATTATCTGAAAAGTGCATAACAATATACAATATATATATATATTTTTTTTTCTTTTTTCATCTCACGAGGATCTTCTTTTCCTTGGGCATTATTGCCTCCGCTATTGTGCTTCAACCTGAAAAAATTAACTAGAGATGGAATCCCGCAGGAACGCATGACAATCATGAGTTCATTTCAAATTTTCAATTGATTCCTGCCGCATGGCATTCACTTTTGGCTCTTTACCAAAACTAGGGAAATGGGGAACCTTTCTCATCAATGCGATTAGCCAAGGGTGAGCATTCCCTCCCAGTAAAGAATCCATTATTTTCCAGATAACGGATAATTCTTCTTGCGCACAGTCTTATTTGAAGTCCATAGGATTAACCTCTTCTTCAAGGCGGAGGTTCATAGCTGGTCGATAGCTCGCCCTTTCGCTTCCTCCTCTGTTCTTCATTCTTTCAATTTTGAGCGGAAAGAGGAAGTGTGTTTCTCTATTCTGACATTCTCTTTCCCTCGCTAATGGGGACATGAATGCCACGTGAGAATCATGTCCAAATTCTGCAAATCCAGGCTGGGTGTGCCGCGGAAAATTCGTGTCCTTATGTGTGCCGCAAATAAAAAAAGATCGGGAACCCCTGACTTAGACAATGGAGAAGGAAGGCACAGTTAACAATTTGGGGTTTGCATGTAAACGCAAATGTTTTCTGTGCGGAATCCAACTCATTTTTTTAACATGGGAACCATGAAGCTTAATTTCACTTTAAAGGCAGGTGAGGAATTCGATGGCTGAAGTTACAGCCGTAAACCGGACTTTTTAGGAAAGTGAGAACGTATTTTCATTGTGTTCATTGTTCTTCAATTAGAAACAATGCCATTCCTCAAATAACTTGATCATAGGAAGATCAGCAAGTCGACTGGATGTCCTGTTTAAACGCATTTCCGTGGGCCCATGTTGAAGGGATTGGAAAAAAGGGCTCTGAGGAGACAAAGGACATGCACCGCTCCACTAGCCTCACAGCCTCGTCACCACCCCCGCTTTTCCCCTCTCCCATGCCACTTGCACCCTCTCGCTCAAGGCTTGTCTGGTAGTCTTGGAGCCCTTCTTTTGATAATATCGATTAGCATGCACCCATCCCGACAAGCAGGTATCTCCATTCATTCTGTGCAAGCAGGCTCAGCTGAGATGCACGATTGTTACAGGGCGTTGGTCGTTCGTCTGCTCCCATACATCAGCCTGTCATTCGTGAGAAGTTTTGTCAAATGCTTTGGGTAGGAAGGGATTGAAGGGAAGGGAAAGAGCACTAGCAAGTAGGAAACCATTGAGAGATTGCCCGTATTCAACACTTATAATTTCCCCGGGAAAGACATCAGCCCATTTGCGAATGAAGTCATGATGCAGTTCATGATCTGACTCCTTTGAGGATGTGACATCAGGAGTTGACATTCTCCAAAGGAAAGCGAAGTTCGGCAATGAATAGTTGTTCGTTCCTATAGAATTGAAATTATCAGTCCTCTCCAATCTCGGAGCGAAGGAGGCGGAGTTTCGTTCTACCAAGCCAGGCCGGAGGCCGTTGTAATGTGAGGTCCTCAGTTTCCCCCCACCTCACGCGGCCACAAGTCGTTCTATGCCCCATCTGCATCATTGTGGATTAGTGTGGTTTCAGGAAGAACTCCCTCTCTCCTTGCTCCCTTCCTCACGTTTATTTTTGCCTGTGTCACGTTTTTCTTCATCCCAAGTTTCTGAAAATACAGGCGAAAATGTATACTTTCTCTACAATTTCGTTTTTATAATTTCTTGCCTGTTCTTGTCGAGTGTCTTTCCAGTCGTTGAGTAGCAAATATTATCTTGATTGTTTCTCCTTGCTGTTTTTTTTTTTAAACCTTTTATCCAGTCTTCATTTGCATATTCAGGTTTTAGAAGTTCCTGCTGTAGAGTTTTAGACAGGTAGTTTCAGTTTTAAGCTTCAACATTAGAACTCCATATAGAGGATAACTTTGCTCCTTTGGCAAGGAGTAATAAGCTCACAATCCCATTGATCGGTCATCAGTTGTCAGCATCCTTTACGCCATCGTCATGCTCAAGTAAGTTTGTTTATATCAATATTTAAATTTCACAATGTAGAAACATCCATTAAAGTTGAAAGTTAATGTTTCAAATGTCTCGGTGGAAGTGGGCTCATGTTCATGCGCGACTGGTGAAGGTGTTAAATAAATCGAGAAGGGATTTTACAGCATTACATTGATTAGATAAAATGCCATCAGGACTGAAACGTCTAGTCGCATATTAATGTATTGCCGATGTTACAGGCTATGGTGAAGTGAATCCAAAAGGAGATGCTGAAGAAGAGGACCCAAACTCATCGGCCTCATCTGTTTTTTTGGCACTTACCCCGCTGAAATCCTTCGCAACGGACGGATGCATCACAGGTATGTCTCCAGCGTTATGGCAAATATGAAATAATGGCATTAGTTAATTAACCCTCATCCGGGCAAAGTAATTTGTAATGTTAGCAGGTAAGGGGAGTTCAACGGACTCTTCCTTTTTAATTATCAAGCTGTATTTATATGGCTGTCCTGTTTGCAATAATCCCACATTGACACAAGAACAATTCGGAATGTATTTATATGTAAACATATTAGAATTTTCTCCATGAAAAATAGTTGACGATTTTGTTTGTTGACGATTGTCTAATTTTCAGACTTGGACTAGATGTTCAGTCAGCTCGTCCATATCTAGGATGATTTTCATGATTTCTTATGATATTCAAGATCGTAGCGATATATCTTTGGGGAAAAAAAAGAGATTGATATTGTGAAAAAGATAATAAATTGCAAATCATTAACTCATTTTCAAGTCAATGACAGTGTTGGAGTGTTTTACCAACTCCTTCGCTACAGGATACTGGAAGGGAGGACTAAAATATTGATGTCAGCGGTGGTGAAAAGCTACTGAAAAACAAAGTAACTATCGTATGCAATTCCCAATAATTTTGCGTCCAGTGGCGTATTTTTGGTCTAATTGTCGGGTGGGGGGGAGGAGCAGGACAGCAGAGTAGAGGAACTAATAAGTACTTGAGGAATATCAGAGGGGAAACATTGTCTCAAAGAGGGCGCCTGGGGTGGAGGGAGGGGGGGATGGAAGTCGGCACCCCCTCACTATCTGCGCCGCTTACTACGTCTCATCCGAATTATCGAGATTGTATCGAGATTATATCGAGATTATTGCGAGATGGTGCAACGAAATGGTTGTGAGTGGGAGCCGTAAAGAGCAGAAAGCCATTGCGAATCGTACATGTAAAATCTAATGAGTCCAGTTCCCCTTGCCCGTTTACGTCAGGAAAGTGTTTACGAATTTTTGCAAGTGCAAAAAAAATACACAACAATTCGGATATAGGACATCTGCTTGAATCGTTAGTTGCCAGATCTATGTGGAACTGACCTAATGAGGCAAGAAGAGGGAAGCATCAATCAAATCGGCCACCCACGAACCCCAGGGCGACTCTGCCCCTTTTTTGAGGGTGGAAGGTATATCAATGAATGTAAGAGGGAAGGTATTTCTAGAATTGTGGGAAGTAGAGGGATGGAAGGAGAGGAAGCTTAGCCACTGGTTTCCTTTTTCACTCCCCCTGCCCCCTCATAAGTCATAAAGTTTTCCCTTTGGCCTGACACGCTTATGTCTTCCTTTGCTTATCTCTCTTGACCCGCGATTCGAACGGATGTACTATATAACAACAAGTTTCAATTAAGGAATTGATTTTTCAATTAGCCACATTTCCACATATGTATACATTTTGGTCCTCATATTGCGTACTGACGTGCATAATGGCATTGATTTTCTTCGTTTGCTCAAAATATATGGAGACAATCGATAAATTGGTAAAGCATTCCTCCTGTCCGACAGGAAATATTTCCGATCTCAATAATTTCTTCCCTAGACCTCCTTAGGCATGGAGACAATTGTGGTACATCAGGATATGCAATTGTCGAGTCCATCGTGTTTCAAGGAAATCTCATAGTGTGAAGCCACATGTCTTGCGTTTTCATGCCATCTGGCTATGCATACCTTTTGAGATACTTTTGCAGTTGGATGCTGACAAACAACCTTCTTAAAATATTTATTGGCCATTATGAAGAATCGCATAAGTACTCATCTCGAATTGGGGAAATGGTGGCTCAATGTCCCAAAAACAATATTATTGTGATTCTTAGGGATTCTTAAGTAGAGATTGATGACCATGAATTAATTTATTGCGTTCAGGTAGGGTTCCATGCATTGAGAAGGTCTGAAGGAGAAATATTCCATACGGTAAAAATATTTTATCCTAGAGAAACCGCGCATGCCCTGTACCAAAGGGAATGGGTGCCATGTGGCAGAAATTCCGAAGCCAGACTGTCTATACCCGAACGAGAACCGACTTCCCTTCCCCACGGTTTACCGTCTTTAAGGGAAACCAGGTCGGATCTCTCGCATATATGGCTTCCCTCAGCCACGGTAAACCGTGTAAAAGTCTTCGGTCCAGCTTCGATCCTGGTTAATTTCAGACAATATGTCTCCTTCTTTCCAGAACATGAAGTTATATTTCTCCTCAGAATAATTTTACGTTGACGACTAAGAATGAACGGCAAGAGAGAGATATCTTTTTTTTCTTCCAGAATTAGCATTCCCAGAAGTTCATGGGTTTACATATGAGGTGTGTCGTACATCAATTACGTGAAATAATATTTTAATTATTTTTTAAAGACATGTAGTCAATACATGGGAAAGCTGAAAAACTTCATTCTTTTGTTGAGCAGTCATAACATAAGAACATAATGAAATACTCAATCCAACAAAAATTGCAAGCATCTCACTTGTAGAAGTGAGCTTACAAATGAATATCAAGGCAAGGCAAATTAAAAATTACACAATTCAATCAGACAAATATACACGGGTCACACTCGCAAATGCACATAGTATTCGCTGGAAATAGGTTCAAAGGCAACAGAAGTACTTGATACTGCCAGCTGAGAAGTGATACAAGCTGTCCACTACCCTTCACGTCTTCCAGGAAAGAGATTACGCATGTTCCAATTCTGCCTCCATGGAACCAAAGTCTGTTGGAGGAAGAAGAGGTTTGGATTAGTAATCATTTCTCTAGTTGGCTCCCAGTCTTTCACCGAGACATCCATAATGCATCCCACAGAACTGACCAGCAAGAAGCTTTTCTACTGAAATGATGACAGCAGGTTATGTGCATCCATCCAAAACCAGGAGCCATGGATGTGCGTCCTCTCCTGATTTCTCAAAAAGGCCACGTTCCTGGTTTGTAAGAAGACATCGTCATGATCATATTCCAATACTTGAGCTAAGTGAGGCATGTGGGATTGATAAAAACTGACCAAGAGTCTCCTGAGTCCCTCCCATCTCCTGAAGAATTATAGAAGTAGAATCCCTCTTTAGGAGCCTTCTCACTGTGAGGAGCACGGAGTCCTAACGGTAGGATCAGCAGCACGTTCATAATCGGAATACCCGCTCGGCTAGAGAGGTGTCACTAGATCACCTAAGGAGAAGAGCGCTATGACAGAATATCCTTCTAACCCATGAATGAGTGAAACATTTTAGAAAAATAATTAAACTTCCATAATTTTCCATGAGTAAGGCCTCCTGCAATCCCACTCTTGCATGTCCTAGGAGGTCACTGGCCTATGGAAACACAGGAAATACACGAAGGAATCACCTATTATTCTTGGAATACCTGTAACTTGATTCTAAGAATCTAAATGCTAAGGCAGTCTCTTGGCAAGCTATGTAATTGGGATGCGGTCATTCTTCGATTTACTCTTCCTAAGGAATCTCGATTTACCAAGTTATGTAAAACATACCTAGAGTCTGAAGCAAATCTGGAGTTCCAATCATATCTTCATCAAAGGCTCCTAATGTGTTGTCCCCCAAACTGTTCACACAGGAATATTAGAAATCATGTTTTAGTGAATTTTAACTGGCACATTCATGCTGAGATTAACATTTAAAAACTTACTCTGTCTCGGGTTCTTGTTCCTGGTCTCTGACCTGCTCCTGATCAATGTCCTGGCTGCTTCTCCTTGGATCCAACCCAAACTTCAAATCGACCAGCGACAATAATTTCAACTGGGCAGGCAGGTCCTCTTCTCCTGGTTTGTTAACAAAGTATGGGGCATATTAGTACCATCATGTATAATACAGGGAACATTTGCTAATCATTGTGCATAGTGGGACTCACGAATCCAGCGGACGCTGGTTAAGATCCAACCCTGAGAATTTCCAGCAATGGCTTGCAAGAACTCCTTCATGGTCACAACAGAATTACTCAGGGATATACAACGCTTGCTGCCAATGACTGCCGGGGTATGTGTCCTGGGAAAAAGCTCACCTGGAATTCAGGAAACGTTTAAGTTATCAATTTTCAGCACAACGCTTGCATGAATCGCTTCCACAACCAAGACTGTGCTAATCTGAACTTCAAATAATGACTTCCACTAAATTTCCGATGGGATTACCTTCACTTGCTCTCCCGAGAAGAATTGCAGTAGCAGTCTTGACGTCCATACTCTTCATCCTCTCTTTTATGTGGCCAGCTTCTGATTCGTTGTCGACTAGAAAAGCGGTTGGTATGTACCTCTCCCCTTGAAGTCTGCGTTGGTGAGCATGGAGTCCCAAAATATATCTTTCAGCTTCTTCTGCAGTCTTTTAGGGAAAAATCCAGTTATAATCCAAAGTTACCCTTCCTTGAACACGTTCATATGTCAAGAGGAGGAGATTCTCGCCTGAACAAAAAAGACTGCTCCAACAAGAGGTTCCTGGAATGAGCCGTCAGGAACTTTCAATGGGTCTCCCACGAGAATCTTTACTTCAGCACCTTCTACTCGATGTGATCTATCAGTGACTTCTCCATGAATGCATAAACGAATGTAGGCCTTCCATTCACCACATTTCTCGGGATCCTTCAGGGTCATGAACGGCCGGAAGGCTTCATCTGTGACATGATCACGGTGTGTCGCCATCACCTCCTCCTCACTCACACCAGCAGGTCTTTCAAAGAAATTGGACATAATTGCATGATAGTAAAAGAGTTATAATATATTGATACGCATTTGAACTGCCGAGATAGATACCTGATGAAAGATTGCAGGAGCTGCTTCTTTTGGATGACTTCTTCCAGTTTCTTTTCCAGGTGTTTGAAGTCGCTCCCACTCTTCACATGTTTGAAGTTTTCCTGTTAATTGGAACAGACCCATGTCATATCACACATTGGAATTGACTCATTACACAAATATGGATTTAATAAAACAAAACCAAAATATTATGTGCAATCAGAGCGGAATTTACATCAAGACGGCTGTATGCGACTTGAAAGACCTGATTTAAATAAATTTCAGCACAATACAGCCCAAGGAGTCCTAGTGGTAACCTGTTACTAGACTATTTTTTAAATCCTTGAAGAAAATGTAATGAAGTTTATTGTGCATTTGTCTAAAGGAATTGATGGAAAATTTTGCAATTCGAGAATAAATAGGGCATTTTAGCTGTAGTATTGAGTTTTCAAAATGGGAGAACTTCAAGAAGAAATTGTAACGTGGATGAATATTTCACATCAAATTGTGTCATTTAAAAGGATAAATAAATGAACCTCACCAAGAAGTCGCTTCTTTTGATATGGGGATTCCCAAGCTTCCGCAGAAATATAGCTTTTTAGCCACTCGTCCTGGCTCCTCCTTCTCAATTTCTTTCGCCACCGACAGAAATTCCTTAACAGCTTCTTCTCCCAGGTTGATCAAATTGTTGAGGACTTGATAAGTCCTACTGCCCTGGAATGATAAATAAATGCTGTCATTGATTTTCTATTGATATATTTCTATTTTACTTGTACTCTTATGAGAAGAAGTGATTCAGGAATAGATATTTTTCTATTTCTGCCTGATTCCCTAGCATATAAAAAAAAAATTTAAAAACGTTACGTCCCCAAAAAATATGCCCCCTAAAAATATTTTGGAAATTTGACATTTGACATTTCAGCTGAGTGCTTCGCATGTCACGTTCTTGCCATGTTACAGCTTTCCATGGGTCTCCGTGTGATTGAAGCAAAGAGAAGTATTTGGGAATATGTTTCCCGAAAAGGTGTGCCCCTATGGCGTGTATCACCAAAGTGGAATTTTTCCAGAACTCAAGATGTGAATAGCTACTTATGTCAGTCAGCTGCTCACGATCATCTATATATAAAATGAAAGTAGAATTGTTTCTTTACTCAGCTATTCATCAGGTATTTTCATCTTTCCACACTAGCTCAATACACCATAAGAAAAAAAAAACTTGAAAACGTCTGCCCCCAAAAATATGCCCCCAGGGCATGGTTCTAAAATTTTGCTTTTTTCCTGAACTCATCGTTTCAGTAGGCACGTCCATGCCACGTTTCAGCTTTCCATGTCTCTCCTTTTTATTCAAGCAACAGGACATGGAAGGGAAGATAAGCCAAAAAAGGGCATGGAAAGGCTGGGAATTGAAACCTTGACCTCAGGATTACCGGTCAGATGTGCTACCACTACACCACCAAAACGGGGACACGCAGTAGCATCTCTGGATGACATCCTCATCCATCATGATATATATTTAAAAAATACTTCTCCCCGAAAATGTCTGCCCCCAGGGCATGTACCTCCAAAGTCGGATATTTTTCTGAACTCTGCACCCCAAATGGTACGTGTGTCATTTTCTCGTTGCCTCCTGATGCTCTTCCTTTCACCCCTTTTCGCCCTCGCCATGGGGCATGTACCAGCCCCTTCACCTTGGCTCGGAGAACCACTTTCTCCGCCCAGACTTGCCCTTATAAAGGTGGCGGTCTCTGGATATTCGGGGCATTCGTGGAGCATTCGCTCAACACTAATCAAGGGAGCCATTTATACCTGCTGATTCAACACTACTCGAAAGTGTCATCTACGCCGCCGATACAGCACTTCTCAACGGAGCCATTGGCATTAATGCTTCAATAGGAAGTTATCCGTGTTGCTGTTTCTGTAGTAACGCGTTTCTTTTACATCTGGTTCACTTTGTTTTACTTGATTACTGCTTACATTGTTGCTCGACATTTGAAATGATTAAGTCTAGTCAGGTTCAGGACGGCGCAAGTTCCAATCCAAATCAAGCTCACATTTCGGCTCCCTCCCTTAGCCTGCGTCCCCCCGTTTACAGAGTGGGAGACGATCTTGGGCAGTACTTGGCCATCTCCCAGTGTATCGCTGAGGCCAATCAGTGGACCGATGAGCAAAAGAAGAATTTTCTCATTCTCAGTCTTCCCGATGGTTCGGTCCACCAATCTATTTGCATCATGGCAGATTCAGGGAAGTCTTTCCTGCAGCTAATTGAAGAAATTAAGCGTATGATTAGTGCACATGAGCCCAGGCTAAAATTAGCAAAATATGAAAATCGGGTGATGAGGAAAAGTGAAACAGTAGGAGAATATGAAAAATCCTTAAGGCTGCTGTACCATGCAGCTATGGGCCAGGCATCAAACCCAGATGCTGACCCCAGATACCTTCTGAAATTCATTGATGGCTTGCCAGTCAGATGGCGCAATACTATTAGCGCAGAAATGCGCGATTCTGCAATTGGGGAAAACGGTGCTCTTTCTCACGCGCAGAGGTTGGAAGCAGCAGAAACACTGCACGTGCCCGATACTTCGTTCGGCAGACAGTTTAGCACAATATCTGTTGTTCCTGAAGCTTCGACCGGTGTTTCAGCTCTCTCGGACTTTAGCCAGTTACGAAGAAAGTTGGGCAACCTCACGGTCATGGTTGAATAATTATGGCAGAGCCGGTCCCGAAAAAACTCCTCTCGCAGATCTCGTAATGAAGACGCTGACTCTCCCTTCAGTTCAGACGAGGAATGGCGAGGGCGCAGTAGGAGCCGCACGGCAACGCGCCACTTTGTCGCCAGATCAGGCATCAGCTGTGGCTACTGCAAAAAGCCAGGCCATACATTGGATCAGTGTCACACCCTACCAAGGAAAGTGTGTGAAAATTGTGGGAGAACGGGACACACAGCTATTTTCTGCCGAAGACGCGATGATTCTAGAGGTAGGCCGAGTAGATATACCTCTTGTCAAGGATCATCTCGTGACCAGGGAAACTGGTAGAGACTGGCCCAGAGGGGCGACAGCCGGTCCGTTTCCTTGATGCCCCACGAAGACGCGATGATTCTAGAGGTAGGCCGAGTAGATATAACTCTTGTCAGGGATCATCTCGTGACCAGGGAAATTGGTAGAGACTGGCTCAGGGGGGCAACAGCCGCTCCGTTTCCTTGATGCCCCACATACTGTCTCTTCCAGCCGAAAGTCCAATGGAAATTCCCCTTACGCCGGGAAGAGTATTTTGGGACCAGGAGGCAATAAGCCCCTCGACGCTCTCAATTTGTCAGGATTGAAATATTGTCTCTCTCCTTCCGCTGTGTATATCACTGCTGGTATTGAAAACTTGCAGGCCCAAGTCTTGGTAGATACAGGAGCTAGCTACTCCCTAGTAGATGAGACATTTGTAACTGAAAAACTTGCCAAAGCGCGAGAAATTGTCAAGAAAAGACAAAGGCCCCACTTGCTTTCAGCAGGAGGAAATCCCTTGAAAGTCATTGGTTCAATCCCTTTGCAAATCGAAGTTGAAAATGTGGTCTTTATCCATAATTTCTGGGTTGTCATAAACCAGGTTTTACCGTGTCTTTTTGGCCATGACTTTCTGTATGAAAACCCTCTAGGCCCAATTCTAATAGATGTTGATGCAGGTCGACTGGTGCGGAAAATTGGCAATAATACATTCGAGCCCATCAGAGTCGTGCGTATGACTGAACCAGTTATAGTCCCGGCTCGGTCAGAAATCTGTTTCCCAGTGCGCGTAGAGATCACGCACGCACTAGTTGAAAAAGACATCTTGATAGAACCTCTGGCGAAGTTACCTCCGGGTTTAGTTGTTGCAAGGACAGTCAATCGAGTCCAAGATGGACATGTTCTAGAAAGGATGTTGAATGCCACAGATGAGGTCATTCGGTTGCATCCAGGACAGCGCATTGGCGTAGTCGAAACCATAGCAGCAGCAAACCCAGTGTCTAGAGCAGTTCGCTCCAATTCAATTTCCCTCGACAATTGCAAATTTCAGCTGCAGGCTTTTGATATTCAAACAGAAGGACTCACAGAAAAACAGTGCGCGGAGGTAAATACTTTTCTTGGTTGGCCGTTCGCAAGGCATTGAGCATATAGTTAATACAGGCGCAGCACCCCCCATTCGGCAAGCACCTCGTCGAATATCCTATGATCAAAAAAAGGTCATAGAGCAGCAGGTAAATGAAATGCTGGAACAAGACATTCTTAAGCCCTCAACGAGCCCATGGAGTTCACCTGTGATCCTTGTCCGTAAAAAGGACGGGTCCTGGAGATTCTGCGTAGATTATCGTAAATTAAATGATGTTACGGTGAAGCGCAGTCAAGGAAAGCGAGAGCGAAAGCCAGACGAAGCTGCCGCGGCGAGGGCTGTAAGAAGAATGAGTGGAGTGGCTGCAGCCACGGCCTTTTATACACTTCCAGGCACGCGGAAAAGGCCTTCACGCAGCTAGCCGCTCGGGAGGGCCTTGCCACGAACGAGACTGGAAGGAGCCGTGGAGATTGCTTCTGCGGCTGGCGAATGGATGTAGTTTGTGTCACCTTTGAATGCTCTGATTGGACAGTCGTTCGCAATATGTTGGATGGTTTGGCTCTGTGCGCCACGATCACATTTTGGATTTTCATTTCTTCTCCACTTTTGGAATAGTTGTCTGCAGCGTCCGTGGAGGGTGCGGTGGACCGTGGTTTTCTTGGCAGGAAGAAGCCAGGTGGTCCAGGTGGTCTTGTTCGGTCGGTGATGAGGTAGGTAGGTTCGTGTCAGCACGATCACTTCGTCGGCGTTCTTCAGTCGATGTGTTTGCCTCGTTCCAGAATGGTTTCCTGGATTGCAAACGGTCGGCCGGCGGATTTGCTAGGTCTCGGTCGATTGGACCGGTTTGGGTTGTTGAGGGCTTCGTGGTACTCTGACACGAGCCGCATCTCAGCGGAGATGGGCTGGTGCTATGTCGGCCAACACTAGAAGCCATAACTGAGGAGTTGATTCGAGTGAGCCCGTAATTATCCACATAGCAGCGTTCGTATTCAGTGGTGGAGAAAACTAGACCCAATGGGGAGCATCGACTCCCCAAGTTGCGCCAGTCAGTTAATGAACCAAGTTCACGCGGTACTTTGTCTTTCCAGATTTGTTCTTGAGATGTTTGTGGAACGTTAGGCCGCGGTCTAACGTGACACCCAGATATTTTGGGGATGGATCACTTTTTTTCCTGGAAAAAAAAGCAATGGTTAAGGGCATGTTTGCGCGTTTGTCGTTCAAGTGGAAGGCACTTACGACTATTTTACTGGGGTTAGGGAAGAGGCGCCAGGATTTCAAGTATCGTTCGAGCTCCTGTGGGTCCTTCGTCAGCGTGTCTTCGATCTCGGTGGGATGCAAGGATCGAATTGCAAGTTCGAGGTCATCAGCCTTCCCCGAACTCGCGTGATTCGGTGGTTGGGATGTCGGTAATATAGATATTGAAAGGGGCTGGCGCAAGGAGCCTTGGGGTCGGCCGTTGATACGAATTATGGTGTTCCCCAGATGGACGCAGAACCTCCGGTCGGTTTACAACATCTTCACGAGGTACATGAATGCGCGATGAGGAGCTCGTTTACCGAATGCTTATGAATATATACTCAGGGCGAACTCGCTACGATCTCCGAGATTGCATTTTGCTGTCAAGATTCTTCATTATTTCTAGGAAACCCTTCAAATAATCTTGGAACGCCTTTGAAAGGAAACATTTGAACGTAGGGCCAGGCGCCCTTGGGGTTCGCCACGGAAAAGAGCAGGTGCTTATTGCGATTGCCCTTAAACACGAGCACATTCATCGCTATCGGACTAGGAAACCCTGAAATAGCTCTTTGGCTTTTACCTCAGCGAATTCCATTCCCAGGGCCTGTTAGTTCCATGTTCCAAGCCGTAGATCATCTTTGTTCGGAGTAGAGTCACTCGAGGAACGGATTCTCGAAATTCGTTGGCAAAAGTTATTGAAATTCCAAAGCAGGGATCCTGATCCCTCACCCGACTGCAGTGAAGGACCTTTTGCTCTGGCGCCAACTCGCCTCATCGCATCGCCGTGGATTGAATCGGGCGGGAGGGCGACGTCACCTTCTTCGGGATGGCGTGGTTCAGTGCTTCGTGGTACTTAACCATTTGTTTTTCTTTTTCTTGACCTCATGGGTCTCGAACATTTTTGTAAGGATGTATAGCGCTCTTGAAAGAAAACCCTTCCCTTCGCACTTTCACCAAAGTGAGGGGTGGGGAAAGGGAAATTTATTCAGGCACAGCTTTTTTTTTCTAACATATTTCAGTATATCTGCTTCCACCGAGGTGGAAAGTAAGTGACGCCACTTTAATTTGAGGAGAGGGCATCGTTGTCCAGCCAATCGGTCCACATTCCATGCCATAGGGAAGGATCGGCATTTGGGTCCTCTGTAACGTTGCGATTGAGAGGCGGTACCATGGTTTCCTCGAAGGCGAGCAAACGCCTTTCTAGGAAACTCAGAATGTCCGGGGGCCAGAAACTTCTGTCCCACTCACAAGTGTCAGACTTTGAGCTTATTTTCACTAGATTCCTCTGTTCACACGGATCAACACTGAGGTCGAAGACGCAGGGGGCCTGAGAAGGGTCGCAGGCTGTCACGTTCGTTTCCTCTAGAAGACAGGTGACAGCGGCTTCTTTCCGCAGAAATTCCTTTTTTTCTTTCGAGGGCAAATACCCAAGGTCACCCAAGGTGGCACCCGCGAAATCGTTCTCTTCCAGGTACTCCAGGGCTTCTTCATAGAGGNTTCCAGGTACTCCAGGGCTTCTTCATAGAGGGGTTTTGTGGTTTCGTTGAGGTGCAGGATTTCTGGGTCTCCGTACCAACCGTTGAACTCCACATTCAAGTACTCCTGAGGCCCTGCACGGAATGAACTGTTTCAAAGCTCACCAGTAGTCATGGAAGGCTACATAATAAAATAGGGGATCTTCCTCAAACTTAGGTCGAATAGAAACTTGAACGGGAACATGCAATAAAGAATAGGAATCTAATTTAAATCATTGAAATCAATGAGATCGCGCATGCCTCATCCTCTACTCAGAGGAAAGTCCCGTGACATCCATCCGACCGGGAATTCTCAGCGGTGAGGAAGTTCCGCTCGTGATGGAGGAGGTGCTCGCAGGTGACTGGGTGCCTATAGTGGGCTGCCTATTTCGTCCAATTAAGCCTTCACATTAATGACGTTCTACTCTGGCTGCCATAGAAGCAGAATAAACCGCTTAGGAGTCATCCTATGAGAGACTATGGAATTTTTCACAATGGCTAAAGAATGACTGCCCTTGAGATTATTGCACTGACTGGGAAAGACTGCAACATACGATGCGATGTGCTCCATTGCCTTAGCTACTCCCTCTTCAATATGGCTGCCTTCGCCTACAATGGAGGCTTCTAACCGATGCGGCATTCCAACGAGCCCCACTAAGGAAAAGAGCATCAAACGCTACACGATGGCGTCATTTCACCTCATGTGTAATAATTTCATCAATGGTCACGGTGGTCACTCAGACACTGTTCGTTATTTAGTCAGTCAAGGAGGATTCCTTTGCTATGTTGCAATCTCATTTGCAGCCACTATATTTTCCTTCTATCACACCAACATATCAGTCTTTATTTCACCCATACAGGTCTCCTCGCATGATTTCCTACCCTTCATTGAAATGTATTTTTTCTTCAGTTGCAAGACGAAACTTTTATCAACCCTTGGCTTTTGAAAGGAAGTCCCCTAAAAAGAAACGAACACGTTCTCACCTGAGACGATCTTATATTTTCCGGCCCTGAGTGCCTTGGAGCCAGTGGTGGGATCGATGTTGAGCAACACCTCTCCCCTCAACGACGGTTCGTCCCTCGACAAACTGGGCCACATGTTCAACCCGTCCAGTTGCGGCGGCAAATCACTTACATTCCCTCCTGTGGGGAAAACAAATTGCAATGAAATTCCTGAGCTTGAGCTGCAGTATTAAGAGGTTATTACCTGCCAGGTGGTAGATTGTAGGGAGCCAGTCGGAGATGTGCATGAGTCCCTGGAACACCCGTTGAGGCTTTTCGATCAGGGGACTCCAGATAGCACCGACCGCACGAACACCCGCTTCGAACAGGGTTCCTTTCATCTATTAGATGAAAATGATTGTCATCCGTGTGATTGCAAATCGGGCTCTTGAACGAGAATCGGCTATCGACATGCTGGTTAACGGGCCGTCACGAAGTGAGCCTCATCGGAATGCACGGTCAAAGAGAAGTTCAAGCGAAATAACGGGCTATGAAAGAGGAGAAGAAAAGAAAATACAAGAAGATGGAAATAGGTCGGCATCGGGATCGGCGTTTGGCCCCAAGACCCACTCCACTCTAAGCACCTGTTCCTGAAGTTCCTCATTACTAATTTAATTCATTTGCAATTTCTTCTCTGAAGGAACTCGCTAAGAAGTAATGTGGGCATTCAGCGGAGGATTCCCAGAAGAATAACAAAGGCAAACCTCCGAGCATCACCAAATGATTAAAGAGGAAGAGAGAAATGGCAGAGGACCCCTCTGAGCGGGAAGTTGTTTCCCCGGCTCCCCTCCACGTCCCCAACCCCTCCGTTGTCGGAGGTGAAGACGAGGACGGAGTTCTCCAGCATCTCGCTCTCCTGCAACGCCGACACGATCCGCCCCACGGACTGGTCCAGAAGGGTCAGCATCCCTTAAATTCCAGCAGAAAGTTAAAATGGGGGAGCTAATGTATTCTCCCAAGACAATCAGTACGTGGTCATGCATTTAGTAAATCGGTCCGGTGAAATCAAATTCGTCAAGAAATAGTAATAAAGTTTTGATGCGATCGTTCGTGATTCGTGAGTTCAAAAGAAGTTTAGCAACCTTCGCAGGAGGAATTTCAACAGGAACATTACCAACATTTCCCATTACTTATTCATAGTTTGATGAACAAGAATATAAAAAAAAGGAGTTGGTCCGACTAATCATTTCCACATTCTGGAACAGCGTTCAAATTAAACTCAATTGTCGATAGTTGTAGATTTACAAAAAAATAACACTCATTCATCGATTCCGAAGCATCCCTCGTTCATCGATCTACAGCACTATATTTCGGAAACATCTGAAAAGTTGGTCGGGCCTTCATCCGTACACTCAGCATAGCGCATGGTGAAGGCGAAGGTGAAGGCGCAATCTAGGCGATTGGGATGTTGGCTGACGTTGGCCATCCCGTCCTCTTAGTGGGAAAAACCGGAGTTTAAGATCTAGAAATGAAGAATGAAGTCTCCCCTCGATTAAGTTTCTTCCGTTCACTCCCGTGCAATCGCCTCCCCAACGAGAGACAGGACATCCCTGAGACATCCCACGTGGAACCCAGTGAGGAATGCTGACGTCTGCCAAATCCCTCGCGAGTCCGCGGGATGTCACGCGTCGTGGGATGTCAGGACGAGTTAAGGACGTCCATGGAATCACCCCATGCCACTCGGGCCAAGTGCCAACTGACCTGCGTAGACGCGGCGCTTGGGGTCCTCGACGTACGAAAACCGCGCGACGAGATCTTCCGGGGCTTGCAGGGGATCCGCGTCGAGTCCCCCGACGTGGGGCGCCGAATGGGCCACGTAGAGGAATAGCGGCCGGGTTTCGCCGCGGTGACCTCGGATGACCTCGACCGCCCTGTCGGTGAAGAGGGTCGTGGAGTATCTCCCCGCCGTTTCGTTCGGGACTGGCCTCATGTCTTCCCTCATGTCCCAGCCTTTCATCGTCCTGTTCTGCAAGAACGCCCGGAAGCTTTTACTAATTAAAATGCTAATTAGAATGTCCACCGGTCCATGACTCCAATACCGTTTAATCCCTTTTTTTCACAGCAAATGACGCAGCAAGAAAAGGAGGAAACACTTTCTCATGTCCTAGATGTTGGGTAACACCGGGCGTGGCAGGACGAACCTTTGCCTTCATGCAAAAGGCACACTCAACACTACTTATATGCGAATTTTAATCCTTTTCATTGGGCATAGAAAATACCGAAAAAGTCTCGAATGTCCTTTACCTTAATGTCCTTTACTTTAATTACCTTTCGGTTTAGAACATGTTACTCCTCTCGACAATTTTTCTTCTTGAAAATGATGACATACCAGAGTGCGACATTTCTGTTCCATCTGATGGCTGAAGTAGTCCTGGTGGGACCCCCAGTACCCGAAATGGGAGGCGAACCCCCTCCGGGTGGGAGCAAAGGCACGCCGGCAGAATCCCAGATGCCACTTCCCCACCGCGTGGCTCGCGTAGCCCAGCGCGTTCAGGAACTCCGGCAGGATCCGCTCGTGGGGGTCCAGGCCCCAGCAGCGCGGGTTGGTGATCACGTAGCTCTGCATGCCTTGGGAGGATTTTTTTTTTTTCGCGGTCAGTTGGGGAGTGATGGCAGCATTAATGTTTTTTCCCCAAGAATTAGATCATAAGGATGAAATCTACGAAAATATTCACCATTGTGAATGGGGTATCGGGCCGTGAGGAGGGCAGCCCTCGACGGCGTGCACAGTGGTTGCACGTAGTAGTTGTGGAGGATGACCCCGCTGTACGCCAGTGAGTCTATGTTCGGCGTGGGGATCGAAGACGATCCGTGGAATCCGACGTCCCTCCATCCCTGTGGGGGGAATTTCGTCTGTTCCTTGGTGCTTTGACGCGTCTGATGCGATTTTTTTGCATGGGGGAATAGCGCAGATGCGGGTGGGAACCGAATCGGAGGAATCGTCTTACAATTTTAATTCCCATTAAAAGTGTAACACGGAGTGAGAAAGCAGGTGGAAAAAGTAGAAAATTTTTTCTTGCGTTCGATTCCACCGACAAAAGTTGGAGGTTACGCCTTATTTTTACGAAGTAACTGATTAACTGATATAGTCCAGTCGCTGGGAATTTGGGCAGTAGAAGGAAATGAGTCATTTAGGGTCTCCCCGGTCTTTGTCGGCGGATTAACTCCTCCCGTCAAGGACATGACACTCCGACGCGGATGCCACATGGGATTTCCCTTCGGAGGCAAGTGTATATTTTTTCTCGCAGTTTTAACAATCTCCTCATGCAAGCAGTTTCACGATGTGGCGTCCTCGTGTTAGTCCCGAGAGGCCGACCAATCCTGCTCGCATTTAGCATTCCTGCCGTTCTTGTGAACAGAAACTGCCTTTGGCAACCCTGTCTTTTCAGGCTGGAGAATAGTGGAGGGGGCCGTCAACTAGCCGACATTCTATGACCTCTAATGGGGTCGAATCAAACTCGCCAAATTCCCAGTGACTCGACTATAACTATTAACTGACGGTAACCGATAGAGAGCTTCAGCAGCTTCAGAACGAGAGCGAGAAACAGAGCCGCGCCGAGTCGAGGTCGAAGCTCTCACCAGGTCGCAAAGGAGGCTCTCACCAGGTCGTCGGCGACGATGAGGACGACGTGCGGCGAGGAAGAGACGTGCGACGCCGTCGCAAAGGAAAAGGCAACGGTCGCGAAGGAAAAGGCAACTGCCGCGAAGGAAAAGGCAACTGCCGCGAAGGAAAAGGCAACTGCCGCGAAGGGAAAGGCAACTGCCACCCGAGTCATCACGCCCGTTGGAGTCGCAACCGGCCGCGATCGAAGGTCTAGAAAGTTTCGACGATTTCACGGCGAACCCGGCCCCAAAAGAAACGCCAAAGCGAAACTTTTTCTTAAAATCGATTTTCCAAGCTTCGGTTTCCGGGCGCGAGTCCTCGGACCACCATCGCGACCACGAGACTGATGCGATAAAAAAAAAAAACGCTCGCGACAGAAACGAACTCGCCGATTCCCGCGAATCGGCAAATCGGATCGCAAATTTTGCTCGCCGCTGGTGAATGGCAATTTTCATTGAGGCAATTTTCCTCATCTCCCTACGAGGGGCTCGCTTTTTTTTTGCATCTAGAGAGCAAGAAAGTCGGATCAATATTCAATCAATCCAAGAATGAATGCGTATCGATATGGAGAATCTGTTCAGTTAGTCCAGAGTTTCCCTCGGTTTACGGCAGGATCCGCCAAATTCAGATCAAATTTCGATCAGCTGCGAAGACATGAATCTACGCATAGTGAAGACATGAATCTGCGCAGCGAAGACATGAACCTACGCATAGTGAAATCAGTTCGAGCGAGAGCAACTATACAGTATACAGGTTAAAAAGACAGCTCTTTCCTTGCCATCACGGAAATCTAGAACGGATTCCGATTAAGATGGCATCAAGTTTCAAAGCAGCTCTAATCTCTCGCAGGAATGGAAGGAAACTTGGAATCCCAAATGATCTTGGTAAGTTGACAAATAAAGTGATTTATTATTATTATTCTGATAACTACATGGGAAACCATCGTTTTTCGTTCGCTGGTTTTTCATGGTTTCCGTTTCTTGGAACGGCCGAGATCGAGTACTAGTTCGGGCGTCTCGGAAACGAGCCAAGAAAATGTCTGCAGAAGGGTCGCGTGGGCGCGGGAAGCGACACTTGGGAGAGGGGGATCGTGGTGGCGACCTGATGCTTTTTTTAAGCGGGAATTTCTTCCGGGGCCTGTTTGCCGTGAATTATTTAAACCTCACACGAGACGGTACTAACCGCTTCGGTCGGCTGGCACGGAATGGGCGCGCGGCGGAAGTCCGGGCAGTACTTAAAATGGTACTGCCCCGACTTCCGCCGGTAGTGGTTTTCCCCGTTGGATTCCTGGAATCCAACGGTTGCCATCTTGCAACTGGAAGGGATTTCGTGCAGAATTCTCTTGCAGCAGTTTTCCTGGTCTCGAAATCGCACAATCATGCCATTCCACGGCTCAGGCGCGCGTGCCATTTCGCGATTTGCACGAAAGCAGTTTTTTTTTTTAAACCGACGACGAAGGAAGGACGGCAGGGAGAAATATACAGGAATCTATTTATTACAGCACAAAAAAAGGGGACAACCTTCGAGGGGGTGGATCCTAAGAGGAAAAACATGAGACAAAATGAGAGCGATTGGAAATCTGCCCCCGAGGGCAGAACGAACGAAGAGGAGAGAGAGATATGTAGATAGTTCCCTGGACCATGTATGTAAAGCGAAACCGTCAAATTAGGATAAGAAAGACTTCTACAGAGAGGATAAAACATGGAGCGGCATCCATTTTGAGGATTTGATCACTGAAGACAGTAAAATATCAACAGTGGATGAGATGAAGTGATGATCCACAAGATCAAGAAATTCGCTGAACACATTTTGAAAGAACAAATATCACCCGGTAGGGAGCACGACGCATCTCCCTTCTTCGATAGTCGAAACTCTTTTGCTCTGAATAACAGATTAAGGGGGGGGGGGGGTTGCCATGGGATCAGATGTCTTCATCACTGGTAGGGATGTTGATGATGCTGTGGGTTTCGTTCCCAAACTTAAGCTTCAGTCGTTTGGGGGAGAATTTGGAAGAACGGGGTTGGGCCTGGTCTTTGGCGGGAGTTTGGTTCTCGTCGTCCGCGGCTTCGACGTCGCTGTGGTCGCTGAGACCCTCGAGGCGCAGGACCTCGTATTCCGGCTCGAAGAGCTTCCGTCTCCGCGAGGGGAAGCTGTGACCGCATGCGATCACCTCGTCTAACACAGGGCTGCGCTTCATCCGGAGAGTCAGTTTCACCTTTCGTGGGGTCGACGAATCCGAACTGTCCTCGTCCCAACGCTGGGTCGTTTGGAATGGTTGAGGACTCCCCGACGACAGAACGTTCGACAGCCTCGTCATGTTTCCGGTGTCCTCGGAGTCCGAGTCCTCGAAGTCGTACACATCTTTGGTGTGGCTTTCGTGCGGCATGGCCGAGCCAGTGCCTTCCCTGAGTCGTCTGCTCCCGATCCTCTTGGCAGATACCTTGTTCAACTGCACGTCCCACGTGTTGGGCAACCGGCGGAACACCTGCTTCCCTCCGTGCTGAGATTCCTCTTTGTTCTTGGCCTTCCATATCTTCCGATCGTCACTGGACTTCTGGGGTCGATCCCCCACGATGCGTTTGCTGCGCAACTGGATCCCATCCTCCGAACTTCCACCGTCCGACGTAGAGACCGGCTGCACCATGTCCAGGATGTCCGATTCTTCGCTTCTCAACATCGCCTCGGCAGAGTCGATGGAATGAGCACACTTTGGATCTCTGCAGGTGCAGGGCTGAGGATTTGCAGGGGCATCCTGTGCTGTCATTTCTTCTTGCCTTTGGTCCTTTGGTCCCCGAGTCCTGAGATCGGGCTTCCCACCTTTCTCTCTTCCCCTGGCTTCGTTCAAGGCATCGTTCGTGAACTTGTAGCCCTGGGCCAGCAGGAGCTCTCGGTCGTAGCGAGTCAAGCCCTTCTTGCGCATGTCGTCCAAGCTCACATTCAAGGTCTTTACAGGGGATATAGGATTAAGAGGCGGCTTGGGGGGCGGGCGATCGACCTTTGTTCGCACCAAACGTGTTTGGGTCTCTCGCAGCCGGTATCCCCCTTGGCTTGGGCTCTGGTGATTGGCATTACGAGCGAATGCCCCCGTCCCACGTCTGCAAATAATGCAAATCCATTCCAGATGTAAGAAACATTTCTCTTCGCTTCCATGGGAGTGGGGAAATTCATGACTATAACTTACCTTTCACAAGTTTCACACTCACAGAGACAGTTACTGTCCCCAAAGAAGTCTTCTCCATAAAAGCATGTTATTTCTTCTCCAATCTGAATGTCACGAAGGACTTTCACACATGCTGTGTCTCTCCCAGTTGCCACAAACTGAAATAAAAAATGAAATTACACGGTAAGAAGTAGATGAGATTTAAAAAATAAAAAAATAAAGCAAAAATCAAGTAGGTGAGAAATGAAGCCAGAAAATGCTGACTTTTTTCAAATACTTTTTTATTATTACTTTTTACAAGTCTACCCTCACGACATTTCCAAATGAGGCTTATTGAGCAAGGAGGAAAAGCAAATAAAAACTAGACAAGAAGAACAAGTCTCACCTTGCAATTGGCCCGACAGTCATGGTTGATGTAAGCCGCAGGTCCAAGCCAGAGCTGGGCGCAATTCTTCCGACATGAATACATGACAGAGAAATCATTCTTCCCTGGATGAAGGAGTTGAGCTTCCTCGTCTTCGGCCAGCTCTCCTATGCACCCTTCCAAGGCAGGGATCCTGTCGTTTTTATCCCTGGAAGACAAACGAGTCATTTGATAACTCTATCTTTATCTCAGCATAGTGGTATACATCATCTTAATGGATTGAGTAGGTTTAACAAAACCACTTTTAAAATTGCAATTGAAAAAAAAAAGATGTAGATATGTTTCCTCTTTTTTCTTTTCTTTCTGAAAAGGAAGCAATTTATTAATCACTTTCTCACCTCTCTCACATAGAAAACAAGCACAAGGTGGCTCAATCTCAAGAAATCATCCATGAACTTAGCTTTTATCAGCAGAAATGTCAAGTCTCGTGATTTTAGTGCGAGCCATACAAACCGGATAGTCTCGCTATACAGGGTAAGAAACTAGTTGCTTCATTGATGCATGGCACCCTAGCATGAAAACTACACACTGAAACTTAGTGAAACACGGGTAATAGAATCACTGCATCACAAGAGAACGCTAGAAAAAAAAAAACACTCCTGATAGGAGGTGCTGCTGATATGATGTCATTTGTCCACATAGCAGGTGCAACTATTGCATGAGCATACAAAAGGCAGCTAAGAAGTGATAAGCCGGTCAAGTCAACTCTGTGTTGAATTCACTTGAGGAAAACATTGCACAGGTGCTACATAGTGCTTTTAAAGGTTTGCATGTTTACAGACAACTTGGAAAACTTATTGTTAGCATGGCAGCAATTCACATGCATATGCTATGCATGAAAATGATGTCACAGCAGGCATCAGCAACACTCCCAAGGTATAATGTCCTTCTTACACATATCGTTGTTGCGATTCTATTCCCTGAGATTCAAGAGGCCTAAAGCTTCTTGAATCTTCTGAAAGCACTACTGCTCCAAAATATGAGATACTTACCAAAAATAAATACCATTGAAATCCAAAACTCTGAAATCAGCCCTTAAAAATTACAAAAGTTACAGGTGTGATTTGGCTTCCATCAGATCACTTGTGATGATTGGTTTTGTTTTGTTTTGATCCCTAGGAGATCCAGTTCTCCCTGAATAGTCAGACTTGAGTTTATTCTCAAACAACATTCTACAGCATTTAGTCTTTCAATTATTTTATTTCTGAATCTTCCAGCAAACATGAGCAAAAATATGTTAGAGAAAGTAAGTTTTTACCATTGGAATTTATGAGCACTGAGACCTGTTCATGAGCTTTTATCTTCATTTATATTTTATCTTCATATATTTTTTGGAACAACATACTTATGGTTATGGCAAATCACATCAAAGATATGAGCTTGGTCTCACAGTACTTGATGGTTAATGAAATTTTAAGCAACCTCTGCAGCAACAGCAATCTTCATAAAGAAAAACTATGTTTCATAAACCCTAAAAATAAATTAATAACCTTATAAAAGAATGAATATACAATTTTGAAAACTTCCATAACAAAAATTTGCAATTTTTCAGACTGGATCACATTCAAACATTCCTCAATTCTCATTCAGCAGTCCAGAAACAGGTGGAATTCTTGCCTTCCTGAAAAATGCTGAAACTGGTTTATCAGATCACTATTTTTACTATTTGCTGCTTTTTTTTGGTTAGATCTGAATAAAGCATTGTGGCGTACTATAGATACTCATGGCACTCTTCTCTGATCTTTCCATGGGAGACTCAAAAAAAAAAGTGAAGATGTGTTAGGCTTACCATCGCTTTGTGGATGTGATTTTTCCACCAAGATGACCTTCCATGGAATACCGACTACACGGTTCAATGGTGAACCCAGCATCTTTGTCGAACATCCTCAGATACCGATATATCTGTCAAGAAAAACCTAGGAATGAACTGCTGCACCTTTGGAAGCAAAACAACAAGGATGAAAGTGAACTCAATTCATCACTGGTTTACACCATGAAGAAAATCTTTTCTGGATGTCATAGTGACAGAAGTGGGCATTGTCTTTGGTGCCATACAGATAATTATGCATGATTGCATCCATTTCCATTTGTTGCACAACGAAAGCATAAGAAAGTTCCGGACAGAAGACCAGAATATTATCCACATGGGTGTTTGTTTCAGAACACTACAGAGCAATCATGCTGAAAATGATTATTTTTGACCAGTGAAGTGGCATGTGGAGAGTTTCTTTGAACAAATGCTGTGTGTATTGCTGAGAAAAAGTAATATTTTCTTCTTGACCCTTTAACTCCCATGTTTTTTGCCTTCATATACTAAACTTTTTGCTAAATGTGGAATCATTTTTATATGCACTATGATACACAATCTATAGTGTGTGTTACTTTTCTAAAAACTTTAGTATCTTACCAAGAAGTCCTGGGTTGGACTGATAATAGCAAACATATTACTCATGTTAAAATGTTACTTGGCAATGGAATACAATTGAATGCTGAAAGTTCAAGTGAATTTCACATTGACAGGGTGAATTTTCAAGAGAAATGCTCATGAACTTGCGCTTCATTCCTTAGTATGATGCACGAATATAAAAACACAAATATGAAATGAATATAGATGACATGAAAAATAAAAAAAATAAAAATAGAGAACTAGCTTAGGCCTATGAGTGAGCATAACTTTAGTAGTAAGATTTAAAATCAGAAACTAACACCACAGGGGATTTGTCAGTTTGTTCTGAAAGATCCTTGGGCCATGTGCAGAAGCCAAGTCAGAGCCAATAATAATCAGTACCATAATAATGTTTCTACATGAGATAGTCTGACAAAACCTTCTTGTTTACAAGATATGACTTTCCCAATTCTTAAATATATGAATGTAAGTTTTACAGCACTAATTAAAATTAAATTCTAGGCATACTTTTATTCATTCCTCGGTCAAAACTTTGCGTAAAAACTACATTATAACCTGCAGGGGCCATTAAATAAATAGGCTGAATATTATGCACATTCCTGCACATAAACCAACCCAATATCATCCTTGCTCAGAAATGCAGAGAATATGGAAATCAAACCTAAGATTTCACAATGACATCTTCTAAATTTCCAAGGAGCAACTTGTCCGAGAAAGTCATGGACACCTTAAGAAGCATATTATTTATTAACGTCCTTTACACACAGTAATAGCGAGATTGCTAAAAATACAATTCCAGAATTTCTAGCACATATGTTCTGCACATTGACACAATGAAAAAGAAAGAAAAAGAAAGTAATTCACTTAATCATCAAACTGGAGCAAATTGCACATTATATTCATGAGTACCAAAATATTGATGTTCTCACCAAACATGCAGACATGGTGGCCACAGAATGATTTCAGGAAATGACACGTACATGCTCTTTTAGTAGCTGCAGCTGATGCTTGTTCTTCATGGAAAAATACTTCTTCACCCCATCCATCTCTTCAAATTCTTTGACAGCTAGACTGTAGTCTTGATGAGCCATGAATTTCAGGACAACAGACTTCAATTCTTCTTTGTTCACTTTCGGTGGTCTGTACCTGATAGGGTTAAGATATATACGTATGAAAACCTATGATGTGGATGAAGCTCATCAACATTGACAGAAGGTTTTTAAAAGTTTCTCACTTGATGTTCATTTTGTGGGTTTGGAACCCAAGATACGGGTCCACGACAAGGGCTGAAGCCATGTCGTCGAATTCTGATAGTTCCCATGGGGTCATCCCTGTCGTTCCTCCCCGGAACAGACGACCAGAAGTCGGCTCGGTTATTCCCATGCTGCCAGCGATTAGGGGCTGATTCCCGACAGTGAGGTAGAATAGGTTCCGATAGAGTTACTTTAAAGGCCTAGGCCAGGCCTCTTGGGTCTTGCTGATTAAATGAGAGTTGGAAGAATGTAGAGCCAGCTTAAGTGTCAGGCCCACTTAAGACGTGAAGTGAAATAAATATAATGGGGAAAACCCATGGTCATGTTGAATGCGTTAGATGAGAAGCGAATTGCAAGCCAACCCGTTGTAAGTCTTTAACCACAATCACTTTAATCACAATGGTGATGTAGGCCTAGCCAGAGGCTATTGTTGCGGCCCAGGCAATGATGCTTTGAGGCTATTGATCTTGTGCAAAAGGCTAGATGGCTGGTTTTCCAAGTTGCCTTCCTTTTGTGCAGCAACTATGTTCATCATCTGCAAAACAGGTTACCAGTGCATGTTGCTTAAAAGGGCAGGGTGAACAATGAAGTGGTTTTAATTGCTGGAATTTCTTCCAAATATAGGATTTGTTATAAAACATGTAGATGGTGAACAAAAACTTCTTGACCATGAAGGCACAACATCATTTACTTTCGCATGTTTCCTGGCAAAATCCAGCTGCATAATGATGACATCAAGTCCACTTTTCCTGATTGTAGAGGTGAAGTGCACAACATCCATTCTTACAGGACTTAAAGCAATGGGTAATGTTTTAACATTGGCTTTCGTTTTTATATAGGCTTTTGTTTGCCTTGAAACCTGATCGTCTTCCTCACATTGATGCAATTGTCTTTGGAAATGTTGTCTTCCCTAACTATATCATCAGATACCTGAATGAATACTCTCAGTAGAAAGGAAATTTCTAGTTTCTGTCAATGATGCAATATTTTCTTGCAAGAGGCTGTACCCAGAATGCCCAAAACAAGTTAAAGTTGTGCAAAACTTGCTAAACTGGCTTTTACTCCAACAAATGCATGCCAAAAACTTCAAAGTTACAGAATTATGGATGACCTTAACTTCTCTGGAAATGTTGAACAAGGTCACTTGACTCGCTGGGAAGTTCGTTTTAAATCATTTAAAGAACTTTAGCCAAGATTGATTGCATCTGCTATGTAGGACTATTTATGAAGGATCCTAAAAATAATCATCTTTGATTAAAGAAACATTTTGCCAACTCATTATGAATTCTCACTGAGGTGCATAAAATACAATGAATAAAATCTTTTAATAAATTGCAATGAACTTGTCGCTTAATTCGAAACCTTAGCAGGCTAGACCTTACTTTGCTTCATTTCCAACCTGTATATCTTAGCTTTTCCACCTACAAAGCCTGAGTGCTGGCAAAATCACCAAAGGCCTTCGCTAGGGTAGGCCTCGTTCTACATTGCTCCAAGCCGAACAGTAACAACAGATTGACTTAATACACGCCTAAAATGAATCGTAACACATTTTCCTGCAATCACTTAGCATTATCCACGGATTACTAGGTAATCGGGACTAAAATAAGATTTAAAGGCCCCAGATAATGGCCGACCCCGACGACGGAGTCCATCTGAAATCACTCACATTCCGAATGATCGTCCGGTGATGTCATATGCCAAGGCCTCTAGAAGCGTTTTCATACAGTTTATAATCGGATTTCGTCATTGCCGTCTCACAGGCCTATCGAAAAGCATCGCTATTGAGAAGTTGACGGACGGTACGCTCGCGAAACGCTCAAATATTTTCTCACCGTTGCCCTACGGTGCGGGCCACCATGTTGGACGCACTATTTCACTAACTAGACTCGAGTTTCGTGAGGAATGGAGCTGGATTTCGCGGTTCTCTTGCCGACTGCCCCCTTTCTCCATCGAAGAAGACGCGAAAAACCGCCGTCGGAACGCCACGGACCGCGAAACGTCCACGCCAACGACGAACTACATTTCCCTCCCCGGCGGACGAATACACGAGAGACGGCGAGAGGAACGGCTCTTGCCCCGGGGATCCATGCGGTGCGGGTCAGACTCGGACGAGCGGCCAGGAACGGTGGAACTCTCGCTCGGTTCGTCGTGAATTTTGCCGTCTCGGGCGGCCGGAAACCTCCGACATCGACCTAAAAATACGGGAAATGGTGAGTTTGCGGTCCCGCTTCCGGTCTGCCTCGGCAAAAACTCGGGAATCGGGTTTCGGTAATCCGGTTTTCCGGCTCGCCTCCCCTCTCTCTCGCGATCTGCCCCCTTTCGAAAGGGAAAAGCCAGCGAGGTGCCGACCGTGCGATCGAGAGCCGGATCGATCATCGGCGCTGACAGATGATCCTTGGGGGGGATCCCATCCGTTTAAGGGAAAGACAACCGGGAGGCTGACAGCTGAGTTATTTAATTTCCTGTTCATGGGTTCATATGTGATGTCGGGGTTTCGGTGGGGCGGGGCGGGGCGGGGTTGTTCCCAAGAATCCCCGATTTTACATGGACACGACTCGAGAACCGAATACGAACAAGTAAGCGCTTTCCTTGAAAAAATATCAATCGGCAAAACCGCAATAACGAGAAATGCGCATCGAGACAAGGCCCTGCGACCCGACCCGAGAAGGATGCTCGCCCGCCTCGAGAGTGCCTCGCTCCCTGCAGACGGGATCCCCCTCAACTCGGGATGACGGACGCGCAGTCCCTCTCAAAGCGTCGAGATGGCGCTGATGCCTCAGCGTCGTCTCCGCTTCAAAGTTTGAGGCAAAGGAAGGCTCAGCCAGGATTTCTCTGAGTGAATCCCACGAGAGGCCCAGCTTCCTCCTCGTTTCCCATCAGAGCAGGGCGTCCATTTGATCCCGGAATCCCATCAGTGGCCCCTTTCCCCGCATCTCGTCTCGCGCTAAACCTAATTTTCGCGAATATCCGCGGGATTTTGGATCGGCTCGCGAAGCCTCCGTTGATCGACGATCCGAGTTTGCGAGGAAATGCCGAGATTTTCTCTAAAGTCGCCAAATATTTCCAAACCGACAGACGCGGAGCCGGAAGGACACGCCAAAGAAAAAAAAAAAAAAATGAGACGAAAATTTTAGGAAGTGAAAGTTTCTCAGCTGAGTTTCAGCTGAGTTTCAAGCGGCGACGAGTTTCCCGTGGGATTCCGATCGATCTTCGAATCGTCTCGGGTTGGAACTCGCGTTCCAACGCCTATTCAAAGCGCTACTTCAATCCAACTCTTAATTCAATAGTTTTTTCAACCAAGTTCAGTTCTTTTGTTGTCCGACCATGGAAAAAAAAATTGGCAAAGGAGGGTTTTGTTTTTGGACCCTTTTGATATCAAAGTCATTTGATCGAATCTCTGAGTCAAAATGTGCGTGCAACTCATTATCTCGTTCCATTGCCGAGTAATGAACTCCGGATGATTCGAGATGATGATAACCAATTAGCGGGTAATGAGGCCAAAACCCCTTAAATGTGTACATCGTTAAATCTGTCTTAAACAGTTTAATGAGTTTTTCGACCTTCTTGTCTATCTAGATTATTTATTTATTTATTTTATTAACTTAGTTTTCAGCTTTTAAGTTTTATTTTGTTTTGTTTTGTTTTGTTTGTTTTTTTTTTTAGGGGGGGGGGGGGGGGGGGGGGGGCAGCGGGGGCAGCCCTATGGTCTAGAGCAGCGATTCTTAAGCTGTGTGCCGTTTCTATTTTGGCCCGTCGACGAAGTGGTTCGAGGCCGGAAGTCTACAGTGCTAATTAAATGGTGCATTCGAGAGTGCACGGGAAAATCTCTTCTGAGGAACTGCATCTAAAGTGCAACACATCTGACTTCAGCCTACTCTCGTAATAAATGCGTATACCAGGAGTATGCAATATGAGTCAATTTTTTAAATTGGCCCATATTGCATATATTGCATATATCGCTCGTATCGCGTACTCAAACATCTTGATAAAAGTGCATACCACCCCGATATGCACTTTTATTAAGAGAGTATCTACCAAGGGGGAATGTCAAGATCAATATTGCTCCTGCAATAAAGATACGGATTGTTTTTTCCTACCAGATACGTATGTCTGCCGACTCTTCTGGCAATAAAAAAACAAAAGAAGTTCAGGTCCCGTCTGAGCGTTGCGAGTGAGGTGAGGCCAAATTCTGGCCAACCGAAGGCAGGCGCAGGTATTGCTTGAGGTGGAAAAAAAAAAATCCGAAGAGTTTCAATACTTTTTTGAAATTATGGTTGAAATGAGGAAAATGGCACCCTCTTTTGTGACAGATGAGGGGAAGAAATAGGCTGAGTTTGTGCTTTGGCGAAGTTTACGCCTACAAAGCTCAATGATTAAGATGTTCCAATTCGCTGGGATCGGGTCCAACTCTACCGTCCATCGTTCCATCTTCGCCATTCCAACGGCATCACGTCAAAAATTTTCTTTATTTTGTTTTGTTTACTTTTTTTTGGAAGTAAATAACTTCCAATCGAGTAACGAGTAGCATATTTTCAGATTCTGAACGGTTACGTGTTATTGCGAGGGACAGGTTAAAGCCCCTCTTCAGTAAAAAATGGGGAAAAAAATTTTGCCATCGCTGGGTTTATTTCGTGAAGTTTCCTTTACTATTTTTTCCATTTATTTTTGCTTTTCATTTTTCAATGTCTAATAAGCAGATATATTTTCCTTAGTTGACCCTAGTGATTCTCTCAATGCTTCATTTAGTGAAGGAGGGGTGCCCCAAAAATGAGGGATTTCGACACTCAAAAGTGAGAAATCCACCTCATCAGCACCTCTTCATAACCAGATGAAAACGACTGCAGACTTCAACAGCATCACGGAAAATAGAGGATTGAAATGATGATCAACTTCTACGTCATCCAACATCTTCAGCATCTGCTGACCCCGAAAGCGCCGACCAGAAAGGGACCTACCCAGTCAACAAACTCACCAAATATTTGCTCACATTTCATCAGGAACGCGCCGACACCTGACGGTAAGGGAATTTTCGGAAAAAGCCGAATTAAGCGAAGACCCAACCGAGTCTACCCCCGGGAAACCGATCGGCGACCGGGTCGCTCTGATTCGCCCCGGTTCGGAACGAGTCGGCCGAAAAGCGAGTCGGACTACGATGCAGAACAGGGGTGCCCAAAGTTTTGGGTCGTGGCCATAATTGGAAACTTGCATGGTAAATATTATTTTAAAATATATATATTTCCTGGTTTTGAATTAATGGGCCTCATTTTCTTGCCTCTCTTTCTTAAACATATTTTAGTAAACGTGTTCATCCCAACTTTAAACTAATCGGATTATCTAATCGGATTCCTCCGTCGGTGCATGTCACCCAAAGTATTTGTGAGTCCACTTGCCTTGAAATAAGCGATTTTCTTCATCGACACGAGGTTTTCTACGCCCTGCCGACATACAAGCCCTACGGACGAGGCTGATGCAATAAAGTCCAGGGTTTTCGCTCCTATTTCCCCTTCACCCCTTCCAGATGGGATTGTGAAAATTGACAGGGATGTCAGAAGGTGAAATGCTATACGTTATCTTCATGTGAATTTCCTATACTGCGGTATGTTTGCTATGTCGTGGCGGCCATTGGGAGGAATCTGACAGCATGAATTCATCAGAGAAATTTGTGCGTGAAAAAAAAATGCAAATAAGCTCTTTGGAATGATGCATGCAATTTTCAGCAGAAACTGGCAGCCCTGCGAATTCTCTCGCTCTCGCAGATGGCGCTGAATGTCTCAGGTCCAGTTAAGTGTCTCGTGTTGCCCTAAAAAAATGTCAGGATGATTCCATATCCGAGAATTTTCGACCGGGAATAGGCTGTACTTACCCGCGAGTGAATTTAAACCTGGTCAGGTTATATCAATACTTCGTTCATTCATTTACATCATCAGAAAAACGTTATTTTTTTATTATCCTCGCGGCCTTTGGGCACCCGTGATGTAGAAGGACCCAATTAGGGATCCCGCTTGTCAGCAATCGCTGATGCATCACGCGACCGTTTCGACGGATTCCTGACGATGCACTCGAGGGCTAAGCGTGGGACCGAACCGACCGCCGCCAAGCGGTTAGCAAGCGGTTAGCTAGCTCCATACACAATGAAACGGAAAGCCACACGCCTTGCAAAACGGCTGAGAGTGAGAAGTGACGAGTTGACAAGGCCCATCGGCGAAATGCATTGCCAAATATGCCTCCATGCTGCAACGCGAAGTGGACCCCGGTTAGAATTAGTCCAGCGGTTAATGTCAAGAAGCCTATAGGCTGCTATGCATATTCCCAGTTGAAACCCTAAAAAAAAAAAACCGTTAGACATGAAATCCCTGAGAGCTCGAGAGGGGCCGAAGCGTAAATATAAGCGTAATTTCGAAAAAAAAAATCGGGAGAAAATGGAATCCGACTACAAAGGGGGGATCAAAAGTTCTGGGAATGAGTCCATAACTACCTTCTTAATTTCATGTACAGATATCACATCCAGCTAGAGACATGCGTTGAATCTTGGAGATGTGTGGACAGTATTTTTTTTTTTTACAATTGGTTTCCATTTTATTTTTAAAGAATTTATTTCAGTGGACTCTCAGTTGGCGAAAATGAGTGAGCAAAATCTGATGAAAGCGAACTGGAAATTCAGTACGCCTTATCTCTTTTGGCGAAAATTGGGGGAAGTGCTGCCGCGGAAATTTGCGGTGTGTTGTGTGCTGCCGTTTCCGGAGCAGATGCTTCAGACCGATGGATCACATTCGACGCAAAAAAAAAAAGAGAGAGAAAAAAAAGAAAGCAAAAGTGCAAAAGCCTTCAGAAAGTGACCATTCCTGAGCTTTCCATAACTCGGTTATAACTTTTGGGGACATTCGGGTCTTTTCCCTCGGGTTCCTCCTAAGAAGATCTAGTCTTTTTCTGTGAATCGATTGCGTTACTCGAATGTCTCGAATGCCGCGGCGTGGCCCATTTGCCCATGGATTCGGCCAATTGGCCTCCTGGTTTTTTTTTCTGTCATATATGAGTCCCGCCCCCCTAAAGTCTACAGAGAGAAAGAGAAAGCATCGAGATCACACTGTGTCCTCGCTTGGTCGCCCTATTGCCACGACTCTGACCCAGTTCAACAGTCAAAAGCAGGTGGAGCAACAAAATAGATAGCAAATCCGGTGTCCCCACTAAAATCTAGAGGGGGATAAAATTATCGTTAAAATTATCACTACTAAAATTATCATCAGCAGACGTAGGTAGCATGATTGTTTAACAGGCAGCACATCGTGTTTTCCATCACAACTCTCCAACGCATGAAGATCGACAATCGCATCTCCATGTCTTCTGAAACCTTCCAGCGACTCTTGCCGGCCGTGATTATCACTAATTATCAGTAAATACTTTTAGAAGGCTTAAAACGCTCAGCGTTGAAGAGCTCTCGTCTCCCCACCCTCACCTACTGCTGTGAAATAACGATAAGTTGAATCGGCAAATAGGCGCTACCTCGATGAGATTCTCTCACGGGACTCTGTGTCACGGGACGCAAGGAGCATCTCTCGGACCGAAAGAGCCCAGTGACTTGGACGCCTTTGCTCGCTTTGCGACAGGAAGACAATGGCCTCAGATACGAATTGTAGATGCTGACTGATCCTCGAAAGCGTGAAAAGGACTATGTGAAAAGGATTATGCGAAACGGCCCACGAGACATTCCATCGAAACGGGACGAAGGACTGCGAAATTGGAGCAATGGAATTTATTCTCTAAGTGGGAAAATTATCAATGGATCACACTCAAGCCACTCGAACATACGGCATGGCAAACGACAAGCTTTCGACCGTCTATAATCGAAGAATCGACGAGGGTATGGCAACACATAATAGACGAAAGGATTCCACTGTTCGCTTCATCCGTGCGGGTCCGGTGAGGAATGGTGCCGGGTAACTCGTGCCTGGCTGCTTCGTGGCATCGCGGGCGGACCGGGCTCTAGAGTCGGCTCATCAGGAGCTCACCGATTACCGTTGTTCTGCAACAGGAAAGGAGGATGGTCGACAACCTGAATTGAGAAAAGTGAATTGAGAAAAGTGAACTGAAACAAGTGAATTGAAAAAAGTGAATTGAGAAAAGTGAATTGGAACAAGTGAACTGAAAGAAGTGAACTGAAACAAGTGAATCGAGAAAAGTGAACTGCAACTGAGTGGATTGAAACAAGTGAATTGAGAAAAAGGAATCGAGAAAAGTGAATTGAAACGAATGAACTGAAACAAATTAACTGAAAGAAATGAATTGAAAAAAAAGATTGAAAAAACATTTAAAAAAAAACATTGAAAAATGGAATTGAACGAAGCGATGTTGCGATGAAACGAACATATTCAGGTGGTATTGTTTTGGATGACACGATTCGTATACTTCAATCTGGATTGAATTCCAAATTTCACTCGAATCGAGTTCGATATCTGCATCAACTTGCACGTCTACCAGAAGCTGCATTTCATAACTGATCGACAATAAGGAGCAGAAATGCAATACGTGAACGCGCACGTATCACGTGTCTACGCTGCAACAACCGACATGCAAAGTCGCATCCCTAAGCGATCACGATCAGTAGCGATCAGGTGCGACTGGGCCAGCGACTGGACCGGCGACTGGACCCTTGAGCTGCTCGGACGTGACAGAGCAGCGGTGCAACCACTATCCCACGTAAAGTGTGGCGAGTGTAAATGGTTTGAGAGAACCGAGCGCTTTGCCCCTCTCTTTGCTGTCATAATATTTATGTGGTACCTTCAATATTTATTTATGTTTTCCCTCCCTCTTTCATCAATTTGAAATCAGGCTAAATTTTTTCCCCCTTCAACTCTGAAATTTCTACAGTATTTTACGAGGTTTAGGGACTCTTCAATCGACGATTACATTCGGGCATTCTTGAAAAACGCTTCCACGCCATTTTCTCCACTCTTTGTGCTCGTAAATAAGTGGGAAGGCAGCAGCCGAGAATGAGGCCCAACTCCGATACCGTGCCGAAAGTGCTCCAAAGTGTCGGAAGGATTTCCATGCAGAGGAATTCCCGGTCGAATCTTACGTGTCGTCAAAGGAAATGGTCTTGGACAAGGCCGTCGGGCGCTGGGACGGCTTCAATTTCAAGATGGAGTTGACCGTGGACATACCGTTTCGGGGGGTGCACTTCACCGCGATCGTCACGCGGTTGTCCTCGTCGCGGCTCACGACGGGGCCGGTCTTCTGGAAGTTGTAGGTGACGGAGGTGCCGCGGGATGGCTCGAAGCGGGAGGCGAGGGCGGCGACGCTGCCGTTCGCAGTGCCGTTCGCGGGGGGAGTGCCGTTCGCGGAGACGGCCCAGTCGGTGGAGTCGGCGAGGTTGGATGCGCTGGTGCAGCCCTTGGTCAGGGTCGAAATGGGTTTCTTCAGGGGGTCTGGGTGTTCTCCGTTCCGGGATTCCTCGAGGAGGTTCTCGACCGAGCTGGATCGGTTCCTTAGATTGGCTCGGGAGAGGGTCTCCGTGAGCTCGAATCGGAGGTCCTCGGCTGCTCGGTCGAAGCGGTTCAGCTTCACTCGGTAGTCCTCGGACAGGGTGTCCTGCTGCTGCTGCTGCAGTTGCTTCTGAGACGGCAGGAAGTCCAGGCGGTTCGGGGAGGGTCGGGCCGAGTAGGCGTTGATGGAGACGATGGGGCGACGGTCGTCGAAGTAAGTCTTGGGCGGCTGGGGAGGATCCGTCGGGGGATCGACCAGGCTCAGGGAGTCGAGGGAGGTCACCTCCACCGACTTCTCTCGTGAGTCGTAGTCCGGCACGGGGCTCGACGGCGGCTGCGTTCTCCCGCGGCTCGGCATCTGGGGGTGGACAGGTGGCTCTCGTCAGACTTCGTTTACTGGGCATGGCCTTGTGGTGCGACTAACTACTTCGAGGGGGGTCGAGAGGGGGTCGAGAGGAGGGTCGAGAGGGGGTCGAGAGGAGGGTTGAGAAGGGGGGTCGAGAGGGGCGAGTTTGTGCGGTCTCGGCCCTTGTTGTCCAAGTACATGGGGTTTCGGGCTTTTGAGTGCTTACTCGAACAGAAAGGTCTAAAAATCTAAATGATGCATTTGAAGTAAAGAACAGATAAGGTAATTGGATGTAAGACTTCCATGGTCCTGTAGTGCCGCTTCAAGTACTGATGAGAAATAGCCATGAAGGCCACATTTTGGCATTGTTCGACACCGTTATCCGCGTTTTCATTTGGAGACTCGTTATTTCAATATTTTCTAGCGTTCGGTTTTGTCAGCAAGACCATTCCCATAAAAATAATACTGGTACTTACTGGTACTTTTGGAATGAACAGAAATAAGAGTGCTGCGATCACTTTTTCAGTTCAAAATTGAATGGAGTTAAATAGGCGCCCGAGAGGCCCCATCGAATAATTCCTAGTTTATGCTGGAAATATCGCTTAATTTTTCAGTTTGCACTAAAAAAAAAAAACCATAGTGACCTTTCAAAGCTTAACCTTCGGCTTTCGCTCGCGACGAAGCCGTGAAACGAGCCTCACGCTTCGTCGCGTGCAAGCAGCTTACGGCAGAGAAAAGGCTCAAGCGTTCGTGATAAAACTGGAGTGCTTGGACAACAAGGCTCTCTGCGTTCACCGGCATTTTAATCTGAAGTGTCGCCAAGGGTTTTCTGCTTCACGATGCGGTCTCTGTTGGCGACCAACGGAGAAACGATTCTACGTTGACAATGCGATGAAAATAGCGTGAAAAAATAGCGGTGAAAAAAAAAATAGCGGTGATAAATAGCTCACTCAAATCCCTCTCACCAAGACGGAAGAGCAGGAAGCAAGGAAAATACGAGAGGGGCTTGCCTTTGATGGCTCTTTACTAGATGCCTTCTCAGAGCCTTTGGGGTCTTTCTTCGCGCTAGCGCCGTTACCCTGTGGCAAGGGGAGAGAATCTCTCACCAGAACGGAAATATGAGAACGATCTGATCTGCG